TGTGTGTGTGTGTGTGTGTGTGTGTGTGTGTGCCTCAGGGAGGGGACACACTGAGCAGCACTAATGACTTGTAAGTTACTCGGAAAACAAGGGAGGAGCAAACAGTATGAACTGTGTTACAGCAGCAGAGTCATCGTGGAGTTAAAAGGAAGTAAAGCAGTCAGTTCGGTCTCCAGACTTCCACTGAGGAGCCAACATTCGGTCTGAGAGCAGCCGCTGCTCGGTTCCTCCTCCAACTTCACCTCCTCCACCTCTCCACGTCCCGGAAGCTCGGACAGGAGCGAGAGTGAAGGAAGCGCAGCGGAGAGAACCATGTTTTCCTTCATGTTTCTCCTCCTCCTGGTTCCACATGTGCTGTTGTCCTCTATACGTGAGTACCAAACTTTAGTCGACTCACAGACCGACTCGACCCACTCCACGTTACCGCGATTCTGTCGGTGCACACCGGATAGGTGCGTCAACTTAAAGCAGCGCAGTCAGCTTTAAGACAGAGTTCTCATACTGAGTTGCTGTATGGAGGCTTCAAACCAGTAAACAATTTTTTTCAATCAACTTCATTAATATCATCATGAAGGGGGAGTTTTTGTCACAAGTTTAACCTGCCCAGGTGCTACAATCACCTATAATAATTATAATAGATAACCAGAGAGGGTGGCTTTTCTAGAAAGTCAGATGCATATTATCAGAGTATTGATATATTGCTAGAATGATATAGTACATTTTGTACAGGATTTTGATTCAGGAAAATCGACAGAGGAGGAGTTTATGGTTAAAATAACCAAACAGGAATATCAGCTTTGAAAAATATATTAATTAAATACCTGTCAAATGAATGTAAAAATTGAGCCAATATTACTGTTGATATTAGTCCCTTAAAAAAATCTGGTAACTATATATCAGCCAATATCTCTATTTAATATTAACATGAACAAGGATTCTTTAGTTCTAAAGTTGTGGGACATTTTACAGTCAAAAATAAACTTATCGGTGCTTTCTGGTGGACACATTATAGGTATACGTATATAGCCTAATCATATGGTGATGTCATTGTCCACTAAAATGAATCCTCATGAGAGTAATGAGATGCGATTGTCTACCTAATGGTGCTTTAGACAGAGCAGGACCTTTTAGACGTGGTGGTGATGTAGCTGATGAGACACATTTAAATAAATCAGCGCTGTTGCATGAAGCAAATGCAGGAGAGATAATAATAGTTATTATAAAAGTTATTTCCATGCAGATTTATAATCATAAGACTGAGAAAATAATCTGCAAGAAGCGCTTTTATAAAATTGATTGATAATTTGTCATTTATCAAAAAGAAAACGTTGAACACATTTGTAGGTTCCAGTCTCTTAAATGTGGGGATTGGCAGATTTTCTTAGTTTTATATTTTTGTAATTTTTCTCATTTATATCTCACACCATGTTTTAAATTGAATATCACGGAGGCCCAAAGGTCAATCCTCACTCTTCCTGCATGTCGACACAGTTTTCATCCGTTTACATTAGTCTTCATATTAGATGCTGCTGGAACCAGCGCAGTGGCACATATGTTGGAAAGCTTGTCCAGAGCATGGTTAATAAAACTCTACCCTCATATCTCTGAGTGAGAAGGAGCCCAGTGGTAACATTTCTCATGGGCATCAATCACAAAGGCAAACCTTAAGTCTAAGAGGGGTCGTGGTATGGAAAAGCGTTCAAGGATTTTACCGACACAACCAGGGTGACCTTTCTGACTGATCCTATACTGAAGCTCCATAAATCGTCTTCATTATGGGTCATAAATATGTGCCGCCGAGCTGCTGCTCTGTTGTGGTGCAGTGCTGCCGCACTCCTCACACAAACACTAAGATTTCTTACGGCTGGAAAGAGATTTGGACTGACTGTGTGTTCAACACAGGAAAAAAAAAAAAGTGTGAGAGTGTCACATCTATGAAAATGAAAGGTCTAGAAAATCAACATGAGTATGTTTACTGCATCTTTAAGCTTTGGTGACCTTTTATATTTTTTTGTAGCCTTAAAAAAAGATATAAATGAATTAACATCTGGTGCATGTTAAGTAGTCGGTACATAGCAGAATCAAATCATGCAAAAAAGGGAGGAAACAACTGTGAAATCACAGGAACTAAAAATATATTTACATTCAATAATTAGTATAACTAGCTCTAAACTAATGAGTTGATTAAACATGTAGTCTATTGTAAGATATTTAAATTATCATTTTTTATGATTGATCGATAATTTATCATTTATCAAAAAAAAAACGTTGAACACATTTGTAGGTTCCAGTCTCTTAAATGTGAGGATTGGCAGATTTTCTTAGTTTTATATTTTTGTCAAATTAATATCTTTGGATTTTGGACCTTTGGTCGGGCAAAACAAGCAATTTGAAGTCATCACCTTTAGCTCTGGTAACATGTGAAGGACATTTTGCACTACTTTCAAAAAGCATGATGTGAAGAAAAGTAAATGTGCATTCAAAGAGAAAGAAAGGTGTTTTCACTAACAATGCGTGTTTCCACCACCCAGAAGTAGCAGTCATCTCCCCTCAGGATCCCGTCCTGCCTATTGGCTCCAGCCTGACAGCCACGTGCACGCTGAGCCCTGAGCTGGGCCTCCACGCCAGCACGTTGTACTGGGCCCTGAACGGGATGAGTCTGTCCAGCAGCACCTACAGCGTGGTGAGCCCCAACACCCTGAGCGTCACACTTCATAATCTCAACGGCTCCCAGCAGCAGTCTGGAGACAACCTCGTGTGTCACGGAGCAGATGGACACGTCCTGGCTGGTTCCTGTCTCTATGTTGGCAGTAAGTGGAGGATTTTCTGACAGTGCAGTCATATGGAAATGTCTCATTGAGATGCACTTGGGCTCGGGAGGCTGGCTGTCAGGCTTTTAGGAGGTGATAGTGTGTGTGTATAATTTAATGAAAAAGAAAAACACATCTGTGAGCTCGGTCTAATAAAGTCGTAGTTTGCTAATCAATCCAAACAAGCATGCTGGATTTGTTAAATGCAGAACTGTTTGATGTGAACTCTTTCTATTTTTAAAGCGTACTTGATTACAGCGTCTGTAACGCTTTAAAGTCTGTTGATTTTGCTTTTTGCTTTATGGAGTGAAGGCTTCTCATGAGTGGAGAGGAAATTAGCCATGTGCTGTTTTCTCGCTCGTAAATTTCAGTATAAAATAAGATTAACGCTAAGTAGTCATTGTTTTTACTCTCTCGTCAACGCCACTTTTTTACTTGATTGATCTGACAAAACCTTTTTTTCCGCTTCTTGTCTTTTTTTAAATATGTCTTAACTTTATTCCCCCCCCCCCTCCAGGGCCTCCAGAAAAGCCAGTCAATTTAACATGTTGGTCCCACAACACAAAGGACTTGAGCTGCAAGTGGAGCCCGGGGGGGCGGGGTGAGACCCACGTCCGAACCAAATACACCCTCAAGTACAAATTGAGGTGAGCGCCCCAGACCTGCTGCAGCTCACAGGTGCTCACCTCGTCCGACACCATGCAGGTAGACTAGCAATAAATGCATTAGTGCCGCGTATAGTTTACCATCTGCAACAAACCCACTACGCTCAGAGGCGTTGCTGTTTCACTCACGTGTACTTAACTGTGCAAAATAGTCAGTCTGCCTCTTCAGAAACAAACGTCAGAGTTTATTTTGGTGTTTGTTTCTGTCCAGGTGGTATGGGAGAGAGAAGGAGTGTGAAATTTACAGCACAGGGAAGCAGCGTTACTCCTGCTACATCCCCCGCAACCTCGCCCTCTTCACCCCGTATGAGATCTGGGTGGAGGCAGCCAATCAGCTGGGCTCTGCCACCTCTGACATCACCAGCCTGGACATCCTCGATGTAGGTGGGTAAGCAAAAGTTTTTGAGGATGTTGCCTTTTTCCGATCCTTTCCTCCCTTTTGCTTTCTTGTCCTTTCGTCTGTTCCATTTGTCTGCAGGCCTCCTGCATATGGCTAACACACGTCGTTAGGGGAGAGGGGGATTTATTTTTATGGTTCGCTCTCTCCAACCCGCCTCTGTAAACCCATTATGTGTTCAGGCTGCTTCTCTCAAAGAAACTGTTGTGTTGTAAAAGTTAAACCTCACTTCCGATGCGTCTCTGGTAAAGGCTTCGCAGGTTTCTTAGCGAGAAATTTAAGGTTACAATGTACGAGCGACGACGGGTATATCGTACAATTTCTCCAGTGCTTTGTGTGATAGCGTCGAGTTGATGCCTCCAGCAAGCCGAGTGCCACATTTTGAAAGCAGTGTTTATTGTCCGTGACTGGGCATCCTCTCCGACCATTCATCCTCACTGCACACTGAGGAACAGATACGTTGGAGCTGTGAGTGGGTTGGAGGAGAAGGAGGAGCGTTGCCATATGTATGATGCATTGCATTGCCCCAATAACGGAAACAATAAGCTGGGAGTATATTTGTTCTGGCTTGGTTTCCCTCTCACCCTTGAGCTGAATGCAAAAGAACAAATAAAACTGAAAAACAGCGTCCTGCACGCACCAGCAGTGAAGGATATCTGAGGCAGGAGGTCACAAACAGGAACACTTTTACAAGTTCTTTAATAAGTTCCTCTCTTTATCTCTTGTTCTGCCATCCCTTTTATCTTTCCCTCCGTGTTTCTCTTTTTCAAAGCCCTTAATTTGTTTGCAACCTTTTTATTGCAGTCGGTAAAATGTTTGACTGAGGGAACAACACTCTGTACTCTTCTCGATAGAACATTCATTCCCTTGCCTTCCAATGTGGAACCTTTTATTTAATAATTATTCTCTTGTGTAAATCTGTGTAAAACAGGTTAATGTATTTGTATTTCCTTTGCTCACAGCTGGCAATTATTCACTCGATGTGTTTATGTTTGCATTCATTGTTACGACACATTTCGAACATTGCAGTTTGTATGAGAATGTTGGTTTGCACTCCTTATACAAGTGAAGAATGGAACGTTGGTACATTCTTTTGTATATAACCTACTTCCTTGTCTACGTTCTCTACTGTTGCCCAAAACTATAACAACATCCGATCATGCGGACAAATTGGGTACGTCATCCCTAGAACCCCGCACTGGTTTTGGTGACAGCACTTTTAAGTTCCATCCCTCCATTTTTTTTTCTTTTTCTTCTTTGCTTATCCTGGGCTGGGTTGCGTGAGCAGCAGTCTTATCAGGATATTCCAGATGTCCCTGTCCCCAGCAACGCTTCCCAGCTCTACCTTGGGAACCCCAAGCCCGTTCCCAGGCCAGGCGAGGTATATAATACCGCCAGCGTGTTCTGCGTCTACCCCGGGGCCTCTTACCAGTTGGCCCAGTCGGAACATAGATGGCCTGATAAATCGAGAGCTTTGCATTCCGTCTCAGCTCACTCTTCACCGGAGCGGTCCAGAACAACGCCTGCATCACTGTTGACGGTGCACCAAAACGCCCATCCATCTCACTCTCTATTTTACCCTCACTCATGAGCAAAGACCCTGAGATACTTTAACTCCCTTGCTTGGGGCAGTGACTCCTTCTCAACCCGTAGTGTGCAATCCACCGTTTTCCAGCAGAGAACCATGGCCTCCGACTTGGAGGTACTGACTACCAGCCCAACCTCTTCACACCCAGCTGCAAACCGCCCCAGTGTGTGTTGAAGGTCACGTTCTGAAGGAGCCAACAGAACCATATCATCTGCAAAGAGCAGAGACACAATTCTGAGGTCCCCAAACCGGACACTCTCCTCCCTTTCATCCTACCCTGGCCCCTTGCAGCCAAAGTGCATTTTGACTACCTCGATGATCTCTGCCAGGGATACGAAATACTCCTAAAAACTTTGTGTTCGTCAGGAAATAAAGACTACATTAAACTTGTATTTGAGACAGACGGCAATTTGCTGGCTGAGAACTGATAATCCTCTTCATAAAGAATGATGAGGTATGATGTTTGTCTGCCCTCAGTGTTGTAGTAAAATGTCCACTGCAGGTTTCATCTCTCTGAAGAGGTTATTTAAACCTCTTGTATCCTGTATCCTTGCCCTGATGACTGTACAGCTGCTGTATACTAACTTTTTACACTCGTCCTCATCCGTGCAGTGACCACTGACCCTCCTGCCAACGTGCAGGTGAGTCGTGTCGGCGATCTTGAGGACCAGCTGACGGTCCGCTGGGCCAGCCCCCCCGAGCTCAAGGACATCCTGTTTCAGGCCAAATACCAGATACGCTACAGACTGGAGGATAGCACTGAATGGAAGGTGGTCCACACACACACAAACCTGCAGCCTACGCACACTTTGTCTGTCGCTGTGACACCTCTGAGGCAGCTGTGGAAATATTTGAGGTGCAGCGTTGCCTGATCCATTAAATGATGAACATTAAAGTCGCTCCTGCTGCATCGCTCAGGCTCCTGCATGTGGCTTTCATTACAAAGCAAATAGCACTTCTGTAAAAAAAAACCTTGACTGCTGCTTGATTCTTTGCTGGTACATTTTGAACACTGGCTTTCATCCAGCAGTGCAGTGGTGAAGCTTTAGGAAACTTGAATTCTTTCAAATTGCGTCTATGATATTTTTTTTGTCCACAGCTCCTTTTTAATATTTTGTCTCCGCTGTGTTGGTACTTGCAGTATTCTTTGAGTTACGGATTCAGTATTGAATGAGAAGATCAAGCTAAAATGTCTTTAAATATATAGACAACATTCAAAATGCAAACGTCAGATAAAGGGTTCATCAAATGTCCTTTTCAGCTGTGCTATAGGCAGATGGAAAAAAAAACTGAAACACTGAGAAAAGATGCAGAAAATGTCTGTATATTTTGAATTAAGAAGGATTTTGACTCTTCTACTACTGTTTTTATTCCATCCTCTCTTTTGTTCTGTTCCCTCTCACAGGTGGTGGATGATGTTGGTAACCAGACGTCTTGTCGGCTGGCGGGCCTCCGGTCCGGTACCGTCTATTTCGTTCAGGTGAGGTGCAATCCAGTGGGCATCTACGGCTCCAGGAAGCCCGGCATCTGGAGTTACTGGAGCCACCCGGCTGCCGCCTCCACACCCAGCAATGGTGAGTACATTGTGGAGAATTGTTTTTTTTTTTTTTTAAACAAGATTGAATGAACAAAAGAGATCCTGTGTACTCTCTACAATCAACACCAAATGTATAAGTGAAGTCTTTCCTTTCATAGTCCGTCTCGTGTCTTTAAATGGCTTTTAAATGCTTCCCAAACATCTGTGATGCCCATAAATCTTGACCATTCGTTCCTTTCTAATAATCAACCTTTCATTGCCAGAAAAAACAATGTCCTTATCCCCGTTTCAACATCCTGGATAAGCAGATGCAAACCGCATGTGACTCAGGAGAAAGCAAACATCAATAGGCTAGATACCTCGATAGAGATCTCCCAGCAGAGGATTAGAAGGGACTGCAAAAAGCCAGGGGACATTTTGATAGATTTTTGTCGTCGGCTTCAAAGATTGATCAAGTTAAAAAGCTGGTTGTCTGTCTGCGGCACACACAGGACCTATAAAGCTTGAGTGGAAGCAGGTTTGGGGGCAGGAGGAGCAGATAATGAGTTACATAGGTTATGCGGTATTTACTCCCAAAAGGGAGGAAGTCGTTATCGGGCTCTGTTGTTTGCCACAAAGAATTGATTGGAGCAGACCTACGACTTTCAGGAGCCTTTCCTCCCCAGACATAGAAGTATGGTACATCACGTCCACGGTTTAGGGCATTATTACACAGAGAAATAATTTTCGTTATATGAAACTGCTTACATCTCGCTTTGTGAAATTAAGCATCATGAATCATCATAAATGTTCACTGAGCAACTGTTTTTAAGAGCGGTGAGCTTCTGTAAATGCTTCTTTATTAGATGTATTTTTAATACTATGCCAGAGCATTATCTTAGGGTTTGAGACGGATATTAGAAAAGTGTCAATACTATCCTACTAAATACCTTTTGAACTTGGGTAAGTTAGTTAGATAGTAAGCTCTCACTATTCATCCTGTGGGGGATATGAATGCGTCTACTCGATATCTGAACTGTTTTCCAGAGAAGTCTGGGTACATATAGAACAATTAAAACATTACAAACCATAATAAGTCAATGAGATAGATTAATCAGAAGGGAAAAGGATCACTTGCAGCTCCACAACATATTTATTTAGAGTGAATTGTATTTTTCATCATTTTTTGGTGGTTTTAACTTGATTTTTATCGTACTTTTGGTGTTTACACCTAAAAAACATTGACTAGAACATGTGACCATGTCAGTCACATCCATGCTGGCACATTAAGCAGCTGGTGCATAATCTATACACCACCTTCCACCTGCGTCCTAACTATAACCTTGACGCTGTTCTCTCATCCTCCCTCCTCACTACCTCTTCCTTTCTTCCCTCTCCACCAACCCCCCCCCCCCCCCCCCCCCCCCCCCCTCCTCCTCCTCCTCTCCCAGAGAGGCTGCCGAGCGGCTCCTGCGATCCCAAGCCCGGTGAGCAGAACTCCACCCTGCGACGGGAACTCAAGCAGTTCTTCGGCTGGGTCCGCAAGCATGCGTCCGGCTGCAGCGGCATGTCGATCAAACTGTACGATCAGTGGAGGGTGTGGCTGCAGAAATCGCACAGAACGCGCAACCAGGTAGGTAAGCAGAATCTCTCTCTCTTTCTTTTCATTACCTCTGCTGAGCTACATGCACACACACACACACACACACACAAACAACCATTGCTGCATTGAAGTCCTGAACTGAATTTCTGACCCTGCCTTTGTTTTGCCATGTGGTCAGCATTTTTCACAAACACAAAGAGGACTGATTTCTCTTGAACTGGCTGGCTCTGTGAAGTTTCAGCCCGTACTTTTATGATCAGGTAAAATGTGGGGTTTTTGACTTAACTGGCCCAGAAATCTCTCTGATTTTTATGACATATTGTAACGATGTAGACTTGATCCTAAGTGGAGGACCACAACAAAGAGAGATGAGAATGTAAATGCAATTAACGGCCCACTGCAATGTGTTCTCTTTGTTTTCTCTTGGCGCGAGGAGCCCCTTTCACAAAAATAACTCGGGCCAAATGGCACGCAGAGCCTCGGCATCTTCTCTGCGTTTGTGACTTTGCGAGGAGTTCGGATGCTTCAGCCACATCCTCTGCCGCACGGCCCTTGAACTCACAGAAGCCCTCACTCTACCTGACTCAATTAGCTCAGAGGTCTCGAGTGTTTTTGTGCTTTACGGAGCACACGCTGTCGCCTGAATAATGTCTCTGTTCACACACCGTGACAGGTTCCCATTGATTACCTTGAGACAAAGGGAGCTGGGAGCGATACGCAGAGAATAAGAAAGAGATGATGCAAAGAAAGAAGAGGAAAAAAGAGAGGACGAGAGAGAAGTGGCAGCCAGACGGAGCGATTATCGTGATGATTGTAAATGACATGCTTTTTCCCGTTGAGTTATCCCAGTATGAACCATCTGCTTTTTGTCTTTTCAGATTCTACAAGGCGATAATTCATAGCAGCGCCGCTCAGCACCACTGCGGTGTTTAATTCAAGCACAGCATTCAAACGTTGACAGATAACTGGCCCCGAGGGTCCCAGCTGTGTGAGAGGTCCAAAGCCCCGCCTGAGGGATACTGCAGTGTTTGGTCATACAGCCTTAACTTGAGTTTAAAGGGCCCGAGTGGAAGATAACTGAAGTGAGACAATGCAGCCTTTTTCTGCAGTTACCGCTGGCCAAATCTGTCTGTTAGATCTGTGTGCACAAACAAATGTTAAGGCCCTCAGTAACTGCACTTTTACTCTGAAAAAAACGTATCGTCGCAGTTTACTCATTTTGTGTAAGATAAGCAACTTATTAATGATACTTGTATGTCAGGTGATACTGAAGCATTACTGTACAGCAAGTATCTAAAACAAATGGGGGAAACTGGGAACAAAATGTTCAAAACAACCCAAACTCTACTTTTCACTTCCAAGTATTTTTATAGAGCTCCAGGCTATGATTATGGTTGGTGTGGCCTGTAGGATAGTTTGTCTCTACAGCTATTACTGATGGAAATATTACTTCAGAGTAAAGCTGCCATTAACGATTATTTTCTTTATCAAATAAGTTGCTGATGAATCTCAAATAGTTTGATCTACACACACAATAATCTAAAGGCCAATCTTATAATATATTGTCTGATGAACAGCCCAAAATAAAACTAATCAATTTAACTGGAACTGTGAATATTTGGCATTTTGCTACAAAGTTACTTTAATAGCTGGCAAATCACTTTCTGTCGATCGATCGTTTCAGATAAAGTTCAGTGAAAAACAAATTCGTGAAATCACTAAAGAGCCGTTTGACCAGTCATGGGTCATGTAGTTAAGCTCAATTGACGCATAAAGGGACACATGCGATTCCTACTAGCTTCCATAATATCCACAATATTCATGCATCACTTACTTGTTGATTTGGGCTTCATTGAAGGTCTACGTTTGGGGTTGCAGCAGGCGAATGAGGGAATTAATGAGTGGAGTGAATGTGCGTTAAGCTTGTCACAAAATAAACAAACTCGTATTCAAAGTAAACTTTGGCTTTAGTCAAACATAAAATAAATAAAAAACTAAATAAACGTAATCCTTTCGTATATATAGGTCACGTGCGAGTGGTAAAAACAAAACACTGCACCCTCATGTCACACACCTGTGTCTGTTTCTAGTGACGGACGCTGATTGCATCACTTTAAACTCAAACTGCGACACCTTGTAGTTCTTAAAGAAAACAAACACAAATGGCTCCAACAAAAAGTAATCAGACATCAAGTTGTGAGCTATCTAAAATGTTGCATATGCACCATTTATGTTGTTAAATTCAGATATATGTAGCAAATGTGTTTAATCTGTAAAATGCAGACGCTGCACCGTGTCTGAGTAAACCATTTTTTAAAGACGTTTTCATACCGTTTATATTTTTATTACTGCATATTTTAATGTTTTTTTGTTTAAATTATATTCTTTTACTGCAACAAAAGTGCTTCTGAGAAATACTCTGTAATGTATAAAAACAGTAAAAAGTCAAACTTCTCTTTTTTTATTATTTAAAAATACAACTCATCAAGTAAACAAAGAAGCTGGAATGAACCACCAGGAATTATTGAGTATTTACATTTCTTTCTCTTTTTTTTTTTTTTTTTTTTGCTGAGGTGTGCATTAACAAAAACACATGACTACAAGTACAAACACACAGAGCCAGAATGTGAAAAGTCCCCTGGGTGGAGTAGGACTGCTGCAGCGAGCAGGGCGGAGCCAGAGAGGGATCGATAGGTGCAGCTCAGGAGTCAAAGATGGAAGTTTGCAGCAGAGCCGATCCGTCGTCTCCGCCTCCTGGGAGCCACCTGTCAATCAAACTCCTCAGAGTCATACTTAAAGTCCTGCATGATTTCACTCAGGGCCTCTTTGTTCTTGATGATCCTGGAAAACACATTAGTTGTTATGTTACAAACATCTGTGAGCATCTTTGACAGTTTATTTTACAACCGAAGGATAGTCGGTGAAAGCGGGAGGAAATAGGAAGTCCTGCAGAGCTGACAGCAGTCTGATGGTGAGTGAGTGGCTGGGTCAGCAGGGAGCTAACACAGTGAGGTGGTAATAGAGTGGAGGGGTGGTAATAGCTGCTCTTACTCGTGCTTGATCTCCTGAATCTGTTCTTGACAGTCCGCGTCCTCCGGGTGATCCTGGGCCCGCTGCCTGGCCAGCTGCAGCTTGGCTGTCTGTTGAGAAGGCACATCAGATAAGATTTATGCAAACCATTCATCAGCGGAGGACGGAGGGGAGACAGAGGACGAACTCCTACGATAATAGGAGCTTTATGACATTACTGGCAGGAAGGCGGTTGAGTTGATAAAACTTCATACAACCTCTGAACTCCAGATGTACGAGATGTGGACCGTTAAGGAATACGGGAACTACCGAGGCGTACTGTTGTAACACAAATCTCAAACGGTCTGCCCAATCGTGATGAGCGTCACAGACAGACAGACAGACAGCAGCTCTCCTGTCACTGACTTAAAATCAGAAGCATCGTGTAGTTTTCCTCCGTGTACTTTAAACTTTTATGACTTGAGCTGCCAGCGTAATAATAAGAATCTCTGAATTCTTAACATGATGGTGGTGAAACCAGGACTTGGAGCAAGAGGGAGCTTATGCAATGTTTTGCATAAGAAGTCTGCCTCCTTGTGGTGAAACTGTGGGACTGTATCACACATTTAACAAAACGTGTGAACTTGTAATTGAAAATGATTCTTTTAAACACTGAGTTGGAAACACAGAGTTGGATTTTACTTGTTTATGAACCCTCTTTAATCATTTTGTCTCTTAATTATAGATTCATTTAAATAATTGCCTCACAACTATTAGCATGTCTCTTAAGTTTATTGGTAGAAAGATGTTTGTGTGTATTTTCATTAGTCTGTATCTAGAGACAATCAAAGTTAACGGCTCTGCTATCAGTACTTTAGAAGTCACGGAGTGGGATTTTCTGCCGTTTTCTGGATTCAAGATAAAAGTCTTTGTCTACGTACCAGTTCAAGTTTCTGCTTCTCTTTGCTCTGCAGCTTTTCGATGTGCTCAGAAAGGGCCGGCCTGTCGAACTCGTGGTGCAGCTTCCCCTTGATCTCCAGCATTTCCTTGGAGATGCCGCAGAAGGCCTGCGTTATCTCATTGACCAGCTGCCTGTAGTGGTCAAAGTCATAATGGGGCCCTGTCCTCAAGTAGGCCTCATGTCCTCTGGAAGGCAGTAAACAACACAAGCAGAGACGAAAGAGGCGTACAATTTAGATGTTTATGTGCCTGAAATGAAGGACCATGATCCTCCGGAGACATATGCAGAGACTTAACTACAGTGTGGTGGGTCATACTAGATACAAACTCACTCGTCGAAGAGCTGATACGTCTCCACCCGCTCAGACTGAAGGTGATAGAACCTCTGGATCAGGGTTGTAAAGTCTGTGGGGACCTACAGGGAGGAAATAAGGAGAGTTAACACATAACACGCAGAGAGAATTAACAGCAGAGGTGTGGACTCGAGTCACGTGACTTGGTCTCAAGTCAGACTTGAGTCACAGTGGACGACTTTAGACTTGACAAAATCATGAGACATGTGACTTCATGTCTCCTTGAGCCTTTTGACATGAAAATACTCGTTACCTTGACCCAAACCCAAAGATTAAAAAGTGTGCAACGAATCAATATAATTCCTGAAGAAACTCAAATTAACACTATTCAAGTCAACACTCAATTCCCCAAATTCATTTAGTCTCAACTACTCCGACATTATACAATAAAATGTATTATATTATTACTCTGTTGTTAAAATGGGATTACCTTTAGTGAAGAGCTCATGTCACTTGTTTAGGACTCGAAACTCAAAGTTTAGGACTTGGGACTTGCCCATCTTGCTTTGGGACTTGAGTGCAAAGACTTGACATTTAGCCTAATTGTGAGTTGCAAAACAATAAACTAGTCCCACCTAAAAATTAACAGAATATGAATCCATCCAAGATATTATTGTTATTACTATTATGAGTGTCGTCTTTACTTTAATCAAACTGAATCATGTATGACGAATATACTTAAACTCTTTGTAAAAATGTGTATCCACATTATTATGAACTAATTATGTTTTGGCCTTTGAAAAGACTAACAAAGCACTTTTGCAGTTAGAGCTCTCACAATCTGCGATATTCTTTTGACATGTTATTTAAATTATTAAAGAAAATACTAGATTATTTACATAATTTTGAATAATGTAAGATACTAGACTTGACTGGTTGTAATTCGTGTTTATAAAGAGGAAATAAAATGAAGGCTTGTTACACATGACTGGTCTGATTTAGCTACAATGAAGTCAAAAGTGCTCTAGCTCACTAACCCTGCACTAGTGCTGCAACTTCACCTCCACTAGCCAAGTTACCATTAGCTTTGATTAGCTTAGCACATGTGGAAGTATTAGTTTCGAGGCTCTCAGACATCTAACAGTAGTATAAAATGGCAGCTACTCACCATGTTAACCTGCCAGAAAGCACTGTCGCTAAGTTCCCACGGTTTATCACAGCGACATGTTTATATTGTATAAATACTGGATGTTGTTTCACTTCTGGGTGTGAATCAGCAGCCTGTCTGCCCTGCCACCCGGAAGTGACGATGCTGCGCAGTGTAGAGCGTTTGCTTTCAAAATAAAAGTTCTTGAACGACAACAGACTTGCACAGTTTCTTCTGTAGCCGCAATCGACAAGAGTAAAACTGTCTTGTTTTTAAAAAAAAGTATCGTTGAAACATTGTTACTCTTTGTTTGAATTACATTTCCACTGTCGGATTTAGTCCTTCATTTGTAATAAACCCTTCCTTTGTGAAGTGATGCTGAGCCTTAAACTCTTCCTGCAGCTTTTCGTCCATTAAGCTACAGCAGCTTGAGAGTTAAAAAGCATAATATAAGTGGTAATATAAACTGTATTCACAAGATAAGAGTGTAGGGTCTTAATAAAACAAATCTACAACATACATCAATGTGTTTATAGATTCAAAGCTCATTATTTTATTAATTAATGTGTATGATTGTAGCTCCTGAAAATGTGATTTTTGCATCTGGTGGAGGCTCTCAAATTATAAGGAGGAGGTAACGGTCTGAACAAGTTGGTATATTTCTTTCATTAAGTGAAATAGCAGTAAATACATTGTATGTTTAAAAGTAATGACTTATCTGGTAGGCATATTTCAATAAATATACGCAATTGGAAGTTCAAAAACTATAGATAATGTGTTTATCATTCCATCCATAAAAAAAAGTTGAAATGACAAATGATTTCGTTTTGGACCAGAGTATTAAAACTGACAAAATGTCTGACAAAACATAAAAGCATCAAGAACAAAACATGAATAAATTATATTCTGTTAATCCTGCATTAAAAACCTACATGCAATAAAATAGGAGTGTGTTTAATAAAATGCATATATCAGAATGAAAACATTAAAGGATAAATGCATGCATTAATATAAGACAATGATGTGAGGTTTATGTGTGTGTGTGTGTGTGTGTGTGTGTGTGTTTATGCATGTGTTAGGTGGTGGTTGGTTGTAAAGTGTTCAGCAACCTGTTCATTCTATCTGCCATTAAAAGACAGTCAACATTTAGTAAAGTAGATTGTTTGCACTTAATTTATTTTCCTGGCTCACGTCATTGAGTGAAAGATAAGCGCTGTAATTAGGCCTGTTTCGGTCATCAGTGTAACTCTTGCCTGTAAATATGGAGGGATCTTGTATTTACACAACAGAATGAACAACAACAATGTCCCCACAAGACAACTGTTTCAAGAGCTTTCTTTTTTTATCCCATTTTTTTTTATGCCATCATGGATGAGAACTCCTTCAATTGCCCAGATTTTGTTTTTATTTAAACATTTACAACCCCATGACAATGCTAATGTACCTTTTTGCGAGTTGGATTCGACAAAACTGTGACGGTTTTATTTTGAAAGGGGTCAAGCTGACTGACTACACAATGAGAAACAGTATGTCTTTTTATATTTAATTACAGAGGCTGTATTGTTAAAAAAAAGGATCAACAATAAGACATTAAGTGGTGTTTTATAAGCACAACATTTTTGGCTAAATAATCACAAAAATCCCTCCTGAGATGCAGCAAACACTATACCTGTTGCTTTTTTACATCTTTACCCCATCTGCATATAATTACAGCCAATCCAGTGATGGGGGGGCTTATCTGCTTTACGTTTATGCGATTAGAACACGTTATTCCAGTTTGGCGGAAAGAGGTCGCGAGGCTACTAGTGCAGACGCGCGGGCACTCCTACGCCTCCAGTCTCCCTCTTCCGCTCATTGGTCCATTCAGCATCTTCAGCACCACGCAGGCTGAACAGCGACACACAGCCGGGCAGCTTTCATCAGACGAGGACGCCCGCACGGCGGATACGCTGCCCTGCACGGTTACTATGACGCTGTTTTAAACAATATTATTTAGCCATAATGTCATTGTGTCGTCGATGTATAACGTATGTTGACAGTCGGTTTATTTGTAGCTCGTTTTCTCCTTCGTGTTGACCGGGAACGACCCGCCTGTGTCGTGTTAACTCCGCGAGAGGAAGCTGTATATTCCCGTCACAGATGCTCAGACTCGCATGTTTTGTTCGTTTCACCGGGTTTCCCTCCCGTCGAGTCGACAGGCATGACGGACGGTAACGCCGCCGCCGCCGCTCAGGTTATAGGCAGCAGCAGCAGCAGCATCTCATGCACAGTGCCGCATCAACAAGCCTCGACGCCCGACCACCGGGTCCCCCTACCGGCGCCCGGGTGTGCCCCGGTCCCCCGACACCTGTTGTGACATGACAGCTCGGGGAAGGAAGAAGAGGATCAAAGGTTACGGACAGGGGTTCGAGCAGGAGCGCGGGCGGGTCAGATCCTCGAGGAAGGGGCACGCGGAGACGGACGGTGTGCACCGTTTGAGTGGAGAGGATACAACCAGACCCGTGTCAAAAATTCATGTGACACGCTGTTAATCCCTGCAGGGTGTTTCTCTCCAGGGGGGTTCAGAGCACGGGGTTAGCCGCGGAGCAGGGCCCCTGGAGCCGGTTCACGTGCCCATACATCAGCGAGGCGGGTCCAGGGGGATTGAACCTGGGTCCTGGTCTCACTGGACCCAGCTGCCCCCCTCCCTCATGTGATCTCACTGAAGCCTTATTGTAATTCTGATTTGGGCCTACAGCGTGGTAGCACCCACCTTTGCCTTACAGTTTCGTCTGATGCACAGCCTCATAGTGTTCATACTGGTCGAGTCCCAGTTAGCAGCGCGGTTCCCCCGGCCTGGCAGGCTCACTTGGCTGCTCCTGACCGTCACCTTCACCTGCACAGCCATGGGCTGCATCCAGAGCATCGCCTGTAACAAGTCGCGCATCAAACGGGAGAACATCGTGGTGTACGACCTGTCCGCCACCATAGACCACTGCCCGACCGTCATCGAGGAGAACTCGCCCATAGTGCTTCGGTACAAGACGCCCTATTTCAAAGCCTCGGCGCGGATTGTGATGCCCCCCCTTCCTCGCAATGAGACATGGGTGGTGGGCTGGATCCAGGCGTGCACCCAGATGGAGTTTTACAACACCTATGGAGACGTCGGCATGTGAGTTCACGCCTCTGTCACCTGTGTCCCCCATTCCGCACTCTCGTGACGTGTTTTTGCGGATATACTGTATAGAATAAAGTGCGAGTGTGCCGCGCGTGCGCTATACAGCTGGCTTGCACGCTCCGTTGTAATACCGCGTTCGCGCTTGTGCATCACACTGAGTTGCACAGAGGAGCATTTGTGCACGCAGCAGGTTAACTGTGCTCGTCAGCCTCCTTCATTCAAACGCCCACCGACAGATTCTGTTCCTGTGACTCTGGCACCCAGATAGAAAAGCTGCTATTAGAGGAGCTAAACAACAGTTGATGCTCTCACATTCAAATTGTGCCCACGGAGACATGTCCTCCCCCACACCCCGACGACACACACACACACACACGTTATCTGGAGGGCATATGTAAGGGGGTGTTTAATCCTGCTGGGTTTAGGGAGTGGGTGGTTTTAGGGGTGAGAGATTGGGGTTTTAGGATTGGACATGAAAGCACAACACATAGATGGAAGGGGGACACCAGATGACAAAAACTGTTTGGCACAACAAAGAGATGATGATAATCCACTGACATACTGAACCACTAGATATCATTTACAGGCGGCTGTTGTAGTCTCATTGCCAGCTGGTGTCTGGATAAGAATTTTAAAGCCTTTCTTAAATTATCTTGTTTCTGCAAAAACGTACAACTTTTCACACCTCAGAAACACGAGTATACCAGCAATCCCTTATCCACATGTGAATTAAAGAGTCACCTCACCTCCAAAATTGTAAAAAGTGGAGGTGCCATCGGGTGAAAATGAACTGGCAGCTCATGTATTAATGTGTCTTGCTGTGAAAGGAAGGCTGACACGAATGACATCTTTGAATTGCTTGATTTGGCAAAATAGTCTCAAAAAGTACCAATTCACAGAGAAACGCAAGAAAAACACATTTGAGAGCCTCAGACCGTTAAACTGATAAATACCCTACATGAATTAATGATATAATTCAAAATTAATTAACAAAATAGTTGTATTATTTTCTTATGATTGACTAATCAACAAGCACTAGTGAAAGGGAGTTTCTTTAACGTCAGGATTAATTATTTTCTATTATCGGATGAGAAGCTCAAAAAATGTGTATCGTTCATCTGTAGGTCTGACCTTTGAATGATGTCGGAGAATGTACCTGCAGCTTAAACTTAACAGCAGTGAAATATCTTCTGTCTGCTGACCTCCAGTAGTTTAAATACTCACCTTGCTGCAGTGCTGTAAGCTATATCCAGCTTTGGCTACACACAATAACAATAATTGTTAGAGGGATCAATTCATTTTTGGTTTCGGTCTTTTCATGGGATTTGTTCAAAATATAGAATATCACTATCCTTTGGCACAAAGTTAGACTACCCAAAAATGTCTTTGTTTCACTCTGTGCCTTCCAATACCCATACTATATGCCAGAGAAAGATTTGAAAGGTCCAATACATAGTATGTTAAGTGCAGTTTGCCAAAAATACCAGGATGTACTGCATCTGGTCAGATTTTACAGTATGCAAGCCAGCATGCTTGTCTTGCTATTCTGACCCACAATCCTCTGCACAGCAGAGAAATGAGCAAGAAGGTTCAAGGTGTTATGACGCAGTCCCTATTGAATGCATCCTGCATGTAACAGTGCTTTGTAAGGGCAGCTGCTGTACGTACTAAAAATAATAAGTATTCAATCAGGACCTCAAGTGATGGTGTCTGTCTCCTTTCAGGTCAAGTTGGGAGCTGCCTCAGCTACGAGAAGGCCTGGTGAGGGCCATCAGCGACTCAGACGGTGTGAGCTACCCCTGGTACGGAAACACCACAGAGACCGTCACCATAGTCGGCCCCACCTCCAAGCCATCGCGCTTCATCGTCAGCATGAATGACAATTTCTACCCCAGCGTCACCTGGGCCGTGCCGGTCAGCGAATCCAACACGCCCTTACTGACTAACATCAAAAGAGACCAGAGCTTCACCACCTGGCTGGTGGCGCTCAACACCACGTCCAGGGAAAAGATCCTGCTCCACACCATCAAGTGGAGGATGAGGGTCGACGTCGCGGTGGAACCGTCCCTGCCTCTGGGCACCAGGGCCCGACTGGTGGGCCGGGTGCACCAGGACCAGCCGCGGGTGCTGAGCCGCATGGAGCCCATCCCTCCCAACGCCATGGGGCGGCCCAACGCCAACGACGCCCAGGTTCTGATGTGGAGGCCGAGGAGAGGGCCTCCGCTTGTCGTCATACCGTCCAAGTAGAGGGTTGAGAGCATCTGATTGGCCGCTTGTTATACCTCATCACAGTGGGCCATCAAGCAGTGAAACGGCTCACAGCATAATCAGATGTGACGACAAAAGAAACAGCGAAAATGAAGATCTATAAGCAGGCTGAGACTTGTGACAATGGCACAAATCAGAGTTGCAGTCTTTTGCGTGTAAAATCTCGAGGGGACAACTGCCTTAATTCCCCACCGCTGCCTTTGACGATCCAGAAAGTGTGTTGGTCTCCACTTCTGGCGCCGTTGGGTTTGCAGGCCTTCACTCCAGCCCGGCACCGCTGAGCAAAGCTGACTTAGAAAATCCGCCAGTAGTGCAGGAATGTAACGCAAACCTGTAACTGTAGCTTACTCAGGCTCAGAAAGAAAACGATCAAGCTCAAACACAGACCCTGTTTGAAAAAAAAAAGAGGTTTTTCAGCCTTAATGATGACATACTGCTGGCCTGCTCTGTGCTGTGCAGTGAAGTGCTGTGTAAGAGTGTACCCAAGGAAAGGTGATTGTGTTTAGGTGTCATACAACACTGCTGCGGGGTGTATTCATCACGGACAAAGACAACTATAATATCAACTGAAATGTTACTGGATGATGTGCTTTTAGAGGTGATGTGAGTGTGGTTGTGTGTTTTCTATAATGGAGACCCAGGGTTGGGTCCAGGCTTGCTGCTTTGTCACACCAGACTGCCTCACTCTCACTCTCACACTCACTCTCACACACTCTCTCTCTCACACTCACTCACACTCTCACACACACATTATGGGGCCTCTTTTGTGATTATGTTACAGGGAGGAATCTTTTTCCAGATGATTTAAAAACATAGCTTGCCAACATACATGCATCCTCAGAACAACTTTGCAGAAAAATGCAGAAACCACAGCTTTTGGATTTCATGATATGCACGCGATTTGTGCATTGAGAAGAATCTTGAATGAAGCCCTGCAGCGGGATTTTTGTTTTTTCCCCAATCACAAATGGCCAGTTCATCCAAGCTGCAGAGCGTCTCTCTCTCCCTGCCTTTGAAAAGCCAGTGATGCCTGTGTTGGCGACAGCCTTCCACAGTAAAAACACAACATAGTCTTTCCCATGGCCCATTCTAATCAGATTTGTCAGGTGAAGAAGCAAGGTTATTTCGTTCTACAGGTAATGAAGTGTCGGCCTTCAGTGACAAATGGAGCTAAAACACATCCTTATCCAGGCAGTATTTGTCGTTTAAGAGCAAAGATTGTGGGGAACGACAACTTAAAGAATAGGTTCACCTAAATTACAAAGAGAAGTATCTAGCCATGCTGATTTGGGGGGATTTTACTTGTCCAAGTTTGGAAATGTTGTTCAGTGAGATTTGTGCCTTCCAACCAACACAATGGAGGTGAAAGGAATTTCTCTGGCGATCAAAGATTTTAATAAACTGCAATTAAAAAAGACAAAAGTCTACAGCCATGCTAGCAGCTATGTGACGCTAATAACGACGATGCTTACATGCTGTTTAGAAAGTGTGTTCATCGTCTTAATTTAGCGTGTTAGCTAGTAGCATTTGCTTATTAGCTGATGGGAATCTCCTCTTTTTATTTGGTCATAAAACAAACTGATGGACAAATACAAATGTGAACAATGATGCCAGTAAAGTCCTTTAGTCCTCTGGGCATCATGAATATCTCACCACCGTTATAGTAGTCAGCAAAATAGTTTACTAAAAACCAAATATGTCGACCGTATGGTGGAGCTGGTTTTATAGGAACAGCTTTAAGTAGAAAGTATTTACAATGAACGCTGGTTCTGGAGACATGTTGTATAGATGTTTAAAGGAATTTGTCAAAGCTTTGGACACCACAAGTGGCACTCCATTCACCTCCATTGTATTGGGTGGGAGGCAGATATCTGCAAACATAAAACTGGAGCTTTCAACATGGCTAGATACTGAGAGTATAAGAAAATGTGCTTTTTGTTGTTTGGAGTACAGTATTTGGTCTACACAGACAGTCTCTTGTGCCATTATGATCTTTTATAAAAATGTGTTTTTATGAAGATTCACGACTATAGAATATTGTGTTGACTCTGAAAATGTTGCTTATTGTTCCCCGGGCCGGTCTATACGTTGTATTTCTGTTCATACACACTCAGCACTCAATGGGCCACAGAAACGGGTCATGCTGAAGTGCTGAGCTGGTTCCAGATGAGACAGAGATGAAGAGAGACGGAGGATGTAATCACATTATCTTACCCATGCTGCTGCTCATTACTCCTGGTGCAAACCGAACGAGCCTACACACACACACACACACACACACACCTCATCTGGAACGACCCTGGGAGTGTCTCTGCCAGTGTGTCGCACGCCCTGCAACACACCCATCACAGAGAGGCACGGACACTGGATATTTGAACAACATGCCTATTGTAGCCATGACACAGGAGCAGTTTGTGAGGCATCTGAGCGCCCATGATGACAATCAAGGGAAACATCTAGAGCAGCACTTTTAACAGGAGAATCAAAAAGTAGGTGATCTTTACTGGCCTGTGATTATCGGAGGATTGAGCCTTTTGTAGGGGGGGAAAGAAAGCGGAAACTTTTTTTTCCACATGTTGCCCCAATTAAAATACAATGTTGGCGGGAAATACGTTTATACTTGACCATGAGGTCGAGGCCCTCAAGTGTCTTTTACAGTAACAGATGTGCCTGAGGACTGGAGGTAGAGCGGTACACGGCCCCTCACGAGGAGCTCCACTCATCAGATGGAACTTGTTCTGCTGGAGTCTAATGCCGTTATTGGTTTCAAATGGCTGGGTAGTGGTGTTTTACAGTGTTACAATGTGAAGGACATGAAACGTTTACAGTCCGTTCTCTCAGACTGTCTGGCTTTTGCATGCAGTGTTTTTAAACTCATTAAAACAAATGCCAAAAATATCACAAAGTGTGAATTTATTCATGTCACGTAGTTTGCAGTTCAAAAGGCGACGAGCCAAGTCATAAGTTATACACGGTAGGACTAGTTATTGTGCAAAAAATAATTTAGAATCAGACAATATCGTTTAAACGACTGCTCAGATGGTTACATGATGAATTGTAAAGAATATTTTGTCCAGATTACTTTTGATTAAGCTGTTCATGATATAATTGTGCTCGTTTTAGTGTAGAAAAGACACACAACGCAATAACACATTCAGAATAGCTCTAGGAATCATTTTTCTTTTATGAAACATTGACATATTGGTAATCAAAACAATAAAGTTATTAATTATACCCGCTTTATCCCAAGGAAAAAAATTAAAAAATCATCCCAGGAGAAAAACACCGGTCAAAATGTACATTCCAAGATGTAAATAATGCTCCACAGATGTCTGACGCAATCATAATTCAGGCAGTTCACTTTTGATTAACTTTGCCACAAAATCAACAGCGTATATTGTAACACGAGCACAGGACACAGTTTATAATCAGTGGCTTTGAAAAGTCACGTGAAAGCCTAATTAATTAATGAATAAGTTAAACAGATAATTCATTTAGATTACAATTTAAATGGTGATTATTTACGCCCCAGGTTAACATAATTTCAAATTGTACAAAATAATCACTTAAAAAAATCAAACAGCTGACGTTACACCCTTCAACTGGTTTTCTAATTAGTTTTTATTCCTGAAGCTTTTAATTCTTACTCCCAGATGATACATGAACTCCTCCAGACACAGGCAGACCGGTCATACCGTAACTCTGACACCGTATTGTCTCAAAGATGTCCCAATGACTATATGTTGCCTGGCAACAAAAGCAGTTTCCAAAAACAGCTGAATAAAATGTAACACGGGAGCCGTCATTGAGGAAACAATACTAGTTATGGTGATTGCAACTACCATGGTGTAACGGTGAGTTATGCCTCCCAGGCATCTTAAACCTGTTAGAGCCACAGATGCATCAGGAGAACTGGACACAGCGTTGGAGGCGGGGCCTCGTTCATTCCTATGGAAGTTGATCAGTGGTGCGGTTGGCAAAAAAAAAGATCTACCGTATCCATATGGTCCATAGGACAAGAGCACAAGTGTTTCTGTTAGCCCCGCCTTCCAGCCTCGTTCTCAGGCTCATTCACATGAACAGAGGAAGCAAAATAACTCTGGATTCAGCCATTAGTGAATTTTAGGACCTAATGATTCAAATGAGAGCTATTTAAGTGTTTGCACTGGGAATTTGATAGACGTTCCCAATGGAAGTCTATGGGAAAAGGTCATTTTGGGCCCAATGGCCCCGAAAGTTGTAATTGGCTGCTTTGAGGGCTTGGTTAGAGCCTGTGGTATTGTACATAGCTGTAGTGCACGGTCACACGTGTGCAAATGCAGGCAATATTCCTGCTGAATGTGGGCAGTGCCAAGAGGGGTCAACCACACACACATACTGATTTGCTGTAGGTTGAGGTTTAGCAGGTCACCAAAGTTGATCATCAAGTAAAGATGCAAATTTTGCACGTGTGACCTCAACCTTACAGCAAACAATGACTGGGAATGTTTATTTCAGGGGAAAATGGCGAAAAATGTACTTTGAAAGCTCAAAGTGGGACAAAAAAAAAGACCTTTCAAGAGTCTTAAACACTGCACCTCTGAGGTCCAACAATGTTGGATAAAAATCGCAGTACATCTTAAACTTCTGCCTGTGTGCCCCTTTAATCCTTTATCGTTGTGTAGGTGTGACTGATGCGGCAGTAACAGTGACAAGCAGCCAAACCGGCTTGAATGAACACAATCAGTCGGTCCCGCCGAGAATCGCTCTCCAGATCTACATCCGTAAACATAGGAACAAAGAAAAACATACAATCCTGTTCCGCCACGGTTCTCTGTTCTCATTGGTTACCCTTCTCAGCTCAAGCACTTTTGGTGTGTGAGACCCATCACAGCGTTGTGCTTGCTTTTTGTTTATTACTGTCTCTTTTCCACTCTTCCCATCCTCCGTCCCCAACCTACTTACCTCCTCTTATTATATATGATAAAGACCTTTCCCCTTCTTTTTCTCCAGCTCTCTGTCCTCCTTTCAACTCCACGTCTTGTCGCGTCAACAGGACCTCCTATTGCTGCTGTAGAGTCAAAGCCCCGAGTGCCCTACGCCCTGCTGGGGTTGGGGGCTGGCCTGCCTTCGTAGCTGTAGAGGAAAGTGGCTGCGATGACCAGAATGGCCCCCAGGAAGAACACGCTGTGGACGACAGCAGACAACAGCGTCAGCTCGAGAAATAGTGGTTATGAGAAAGGAAAGCAAAGACATAACCAAAAAAAAAAAAAAAAAAAAAAAACCAGAAGAGAGACAGAGGGAGAGGTAGTGACTGTTTCCTCTACCCAGTGGGGTCGAAGTCCTGCAGCCAGAAGTACGATATGAGAGTTGACAGGATGATGGAGAGCGATGTAGCGAAGCCCTTGAGGATGTTGTCTGCATACTTGATGACCGCTGCTATGACCAGACCACCCAGCGCCTGGAGAAACAACAAACACACGGACACAGATGGACAAAGGCATGACCTGAACGGTCCGAGAGGGAGTCTGATTCATGAAATAAAGAGTCTGTTACCCCAGAGGCTTGATAATATGTCTGACAGTTAGGTGGGAAAACATATTGAACTGAAGGCCTTCGTATCACGGCAAATCCGGCCAGGGGCCGAAAGTGGCCCTCTTTCTCATTTCCTACCCTCTTACTTACGGCGCCCTCGCTCAGACCACATCTTTGAACTCGACTAGTTTTGTGACTGCGTCTTGCGTAATTGCAAAGCTACTGTGGTAATTAAATATGTCGAAATCTGTTGTAGCGGCTAGATGTGAGCGTTTACCTGCAGCGCTACGACAGTCCAGGTGACGGTGTTGTATCCCTGGAACATTCCCGATTCCTTCACCTTCTCCCCGTCGAAGGCCATCATCCCAAAGAGGCCAAACACCAGCCCAAACAGCCCTGGAACACACACACACACACACACAAGATCAGTCTGTAGATTCCATCCTGAAGTCTCATCAAAATAAAACTAAACTTTTTACAATTCAGTTTAAGAGAGAACTAGACTGCTGCGTGTTAAGACAGAACTTTAGTTCAGCGTGTTAAAAAATATCACTGTTTCACACTATTATTGTTTGTAATATTATTATTATTAGTTACTATGATAGTTAGTGTACTGTAGATTTGCAACTGTGCAGCCACTGTTCCTGTCTGCGCGCGCACACACACACACACACACACACACACACACACACACACACACACACACACACACACACACGAGATATCAATCAAACTCTCGGCAAGAAAGCCAAATCAGCATTTTCTGAAAATATCAAACTTCTCCTTTAATATTCATGTACTCCAACTACATTGCTTATCTCCTGTACTTTCCAAACAAGGCTGTAACTAACACCAATTCCTTTATCCTTCTCGTTTTTACATTTTCTTGTATCACTTTTACGACAACAACAAAAACATGCACAGCATTTTCGACTCTGCTCTCGTTGCAGATCTAGGCTCCAACATTTAATGCAGGTGAAAAAGCTCCGAGCTCACGGCAGGAGTCGCAGGAGACTTAACACACGCCTCACATGCTCCAGGGTAAAAATAAACTAGACAGGAACATTCATCTTAACAGAAACATATCGGAGGTCAAGAGCCCAGCTGGCTCTCTGCACAGGAAAGAAAGGAAACTTAGAGCTCACTCCAGAACATGGAGCGAGCGCCTTTTTCAATTGGTTTTTCCAACAACATCTCACAACATTGTTCTTCTGTTGATGGACATGCATTGATTAAATGTCATGAACTTACATTTCATGTGAAGAATAACTGATTCGACTGATGGAGGAATACTGACCCAGCTGAATGTTGCGGACCCAGACGCTCTGTTTGCTCTCCTTTAGGATCTTCTCAAAGTAGACGCCAGCGAACCCGCTGGAGCAGCACGCCACCAGAACTGCCGTCACACCGACAAACTGGGAGCCTGTAGAGAGGGCATCCTTCTCCGGGGCCGCTGGGGATTCAGAGGGCCACTGCAAACACAAGAGAAACACTTGGATTTTAATAAACCTCGAGCTAGAAAGTGGAAACAGTAGTTTGGCCAAAAAAAAGGTTAATTTAGTATCAAATGCATCAAGCGGTTTCCTTCAGCAGATGAAGATAGCTTAGTTGTTGTCACGTAATAACAATGACAAAAATCATCCCAGAAGCCATCTACTGAAAGCAAATTCATCCCTCTGAGGAAGACTGCAAGATGTGGTAGAAAGCTAGTAAGTGGACCTTTAGTTTTTGCTCAAAATATGAAATCTCTAAACCTAGAAGTGGACAAAAGTTGAGAAAGCATACGAATAAAAATGGAAAGCCAGTCTAACCTTCTACGGGCATAATATTTAAATGAATACTTCGCTACTAAAATGAACATCTGTATATTAATTACTCGTTTTCTCGCAGGCCTCCACGGCGAACGGAGAATCAAAAAATGAAAATTCTTGATGAATTGAAGTGAATGGGGGCCGACAACAAAACATCCGATTCTCCGTTCATGTGGAGGTATGCGAGATAAACAAGTTGAAGGTAACACGGGGTGAGTAGTTGATACACAAATGATCCTTTTGAGGGTGCAGTATTCCTTTAAGGGACAGATAGCACAGTGTTATCCGTTTTCTTATTTAGTTCTTGGCAAGAAAAGGAATCAGCATTTTTCCTAAAATTTCAAACTATTTATTTAAGTGCTGCAAAAGGAAACAGCACTATACACACACCCAGTTTGAAGAGGAGATGATGCAAAGCACTACCGTCTAAATTTGTATCATCCAATGAATAAATATGCCAATGAAACTACAAGTACGTACTTAGTACGGCCTGAACTCTCTGTAACGGTTGACAACCACACTCTGTCTGAAGTCAGGAGGCTGGGTAACTGAAATTCATACAACAGGCATCTTCACAGCTTCACCAAGTTGTTAAAATGCTGCAGACTGCGAGTTCCTGCGTTATGTGCTGCAGTAAGCTAAAAAATGGGTGTTCATGCAAAAAAAGTAAAAAAAGGTGACGATCTCTGCTCGTGCACAGTCAGAAAAGTATTCCGCTGCACTTTTTCTTTAGATAAACCCACAAAAGATCACGTTTTGGAACAAGATGCTGTTTGCCTGCCACCTCTTTACTTCCTCCAGTCGACAAAAACAAACCCTGCTGAGTGAGAACTAACAGCATAAACCTTGAAAATCCAGAGACAATGAGGAAGTTGTATCAATTCAAAACAGGCCAATTATTTCATAGCAGCTGGGTTTTTTTCTACCTGTTTATTTGTTTGTAGGCGATAGTGTACAACTAACAGCCCCACACAGTTGTGGAGTGAATGTTTCCACCCGTCTGATCCTGTAGACTTATGAAGGTGTATCTTCGGCTCCTCCTCCTCCTCTATTGTGCTTCTGTCTCAGCCAAGATTAAGATCACATCCGGAGTAATAGCAAATGACTGGCAATTTATTTGTTTTGCCAAGGAGGAGGAGGAGGAGGAGGAGGCGATCTCACACTTCATCATTCATCGGCACGTCCCTCGTAACCACTGGTGGCCAATATTTATTCAACGTTCCAGTTCCAGTTCAATAACCACATAACTCCCACTGACATTCTTTTCTTTATCTGGCCACTAGAAGAAACTAGAGAGCACAGAGTTAATTAAAATAATAGGCACACTTCCAACACACAGCAGAGGAAACGCTTAATTAGACAAAGTGACACCTACAGAACCGGCCCCATTCGCTCTCTCTTTTAGATATAAAAGGCACTAATGAGATGGATTTCCTAATGTTTTTCAGTTTAATACAGGAATTTTAAAAAAGCAACACGAGTGCAAAGAGGTAGAGAAATAATACAGAGAACTCTCTTAAATCTACACGAGGTGAGATTCCATAGTCCACAGTTTACAACGGAGTCGACAAAGAATAGGGAAGAAATGTCTAAAGCAAATATTCAGAGCACAAAGGGACGAAGAAAATGTCTTACTTTGTTCTATAAATGATATTTTATCAATCAAATGTGTGTATCTTGTACATCTAATGTGTTGTAATCAATATGTAGGTATTTATACAGAACATGCCTGTATTCCTGAATTATCTTTTTCTTTCTTTTGGACTAATAATATATATTGGTAATAATAAATTAATAATATAGACATATGGCCCATATATAACATACAATCTATTATTCTTTTTCTAGCTTTTTTGTATATATTTTCAATGTAATAGTTTCTGGGATATTTGTATTTTTCGATGATTTAGATAGATAGATAGATAGATAGATAGATAGATTGATAGATAGATATGAGTCATTTTAAATATACTTGCTTAATATTGAACTTGATGCTTCGTGTTCTTTTCACATGGAGGCGTGCTCGGTCCTCCATGTGGGAGAATCAGACATTGTTGAGATGTGCTCACAATTATTTTTCTATCAAGCGGAACCACAGAGAGGATGTTATGTGGCCTATTTCTAGACAATGGAGAAATAATGTGATTTCCATTTAGCTGTGAACAGACGAGAAGCTGTACCGGACCTGCACGAGAGCCACTCCGGCCATAAGAATCAGCAACGAGAGCCACTGGTAGACGCCCAGCCGGCGGCCCAGCATGGACACCGAGAACAGAGCCGTGGTCAAGATCTTCAGCTGGTACGTCACCTGGTGGAGACAAAGGGATACAAACCTTACATTTTGCATGAACAAAGGGTGTGCCGATTGCTGAAGGGGCTCATAAAGACACATTATGGTTTCCGTGCGTGCTGTGAGTCGGCCGTACCTGGTAGGTGGCTGCGTCCAGGTTGGACAAGGCGACGTACAGCAGGTTGTTCTGCAGCGTGTAGATCCCAGAGGGGATCGCCAGCTTCAGCGTTTCGATGGGCTTTTGGGTGATTTCCTGACGCAGAATGCTGTTCAGGGCCCGCATGCTGTAATCTGAAGAATGACGACAGTTGGTTAGACCGCTGGACGAATATGAATCCAGTCAGCTTTGACAGGATGTAGAGAATCTAAAATTAGCTGTGGAGTAAGTTTGTCTTTTTAACTGGGTACTGAGGTCTTTGTATGAGATCTGCGCGGGTCTGCATGTTCATACTGTGACCACGCCTCCCTTCCACTCGGGGTCTGTGTCCTGTTTGCCGTCTCTTACTGTAGTTCAGGTTATTGCTCGTCAGCTGATGAGCCACACCTGATCCTGGTGGGAGTGCCAGCTACAAAGACTGAGCACCTGAACACGGACGGCGGCTGTTTTATTTCAGACATTTTCACACATCCTGACATTACCGACGCTCCACGTTTGTTTAGTCTAGGTAAATAAATGTGCTTATTTAATCACCTTTAAGTCGTCCGGTCTCCCATTCATGTTGCAGCCTTTCATCCGGGTTGTGATAATACTAAAGCAAACGTGACAGAGCAGCGCAGGGTTTTCACTTTGTTCTTTTCGATACGCGTGTAGTAAAAGTGGTTGGTAGTAAAGACACCATTATTTTCTGAAGTGGTGCTCTAGTAGTTCGCCAGCTCTGGCACCGTTTCAACAAGGTTTATCTGATTTTATCTGGTTACTCGAAGTAGAAGTGTAATTCAAAGACATCAAACCACTTTAACCTTCTTGCTTCAGTAGAATGAGGAAAAACCTGATCAACAGAGTGAGGAAGATTTGTCTAGTTATATAACTGGGCCATTTTTAGTCCGGTCGGATTAGAGTATTGAAGTTATTGTTACTGTATTCTGTGATCAGAACAACTTGGATTTATATTTATTTGGATATCATAATTTCACCCTTTTTAGACCATGTGTTTAGCGGCTGTTTCTGTTCCGACTACATTTAACACGCGACTACTTTGGATTACTTGTTTAAAAAAATAGTTTAGAACTATTTTTTTTCATGTCATATTGGTGTCTTTTTATTTAATTTTTTAGTTTAACACAGTTTTATGGATATTAGCAGATATTAAAATCATGTCATAGTTTGGGCTGAAAGTGAAAATGACAGAATCAAAAACAATGTTGACATTTGAATGAAGATTTCCTTCATTAATTTGAGCAAAAAGGACAAACACGAGCTGGTTCCAGCCTCTAACACTGTACAGTGGTGCTGGTGATTGTGGTGACATGACATCAGTGTGTTCTCAGGTTGCACTCACTGTGCTCCTTGAAGACGAGCAGCACACAGGTGAGGATCTTCAGCACCTCGGCCACCACCACAGCCGAGGAGGCCAGGTACCGCGGGCCCTCGGCCTGCAGGGTGCGGGAGTACCGCATGGTGAGCACCAGGGAGGTGGTCTGGAACACCAGCACGCCCAGAGAGAGGTACTTCAGCCGGGAAGAGGCCATGACCCCTGGTCGGTGAAAGGCTGGACACAGGAAAAAAAAAAAAGGAGGATATAAAGATACGGTTCAAATAGTTAGAAATGTAAGGAGGTAAATACAGAACCGTAGTGAGAAGTGGAAAAAAAGACTTTTAGAGACAGAAAGAGGTTTTTACTCACATTCACACTCGCTGTAGAAGCTGCTCCACGGACGTAGATATTTGTAAAATAACAGGTTTAAACTTGGGCTCGTGTTTGTTCTCAGCAGCTCTCTCTCGGGCAGACGGACCAGGTACCAGAGGCTCAACCCAGCTGTCAAAACAGCAGCACTTCGTCCATTGACCCGGACTGGAGATCCAACCGTCTGCGCTTAACTCTCTTACCGGGGTCTCCACGTCGACTGCCGCATCGTTAAGAGCAATTAAGTTCGAACTAACGGCCGAAGGAAAGAGTAAATGATATCGCGAAAGTCTGCAGAAGAGAGGAAATATAACCTCAGGCATGTAAAATCCTGAATGACTTCCGTGCACAGCTTTCTTCCTCGTCTTTGTTTTTTGTTTTTTGTCAAAGCTTCCTGTGCGACCCAGCGCCTCCTGCTGGACCGGCAGCAGAACTGCAACACTCGTATTTATCTTAAGCTGGAGAATGAACTAACTGTGGGATAACAAAGCCCCACGAATAACAACTAAACATCTATGACCAAAGTCACACCACATTAGTATATTTGAATGTAAACAGTTAATTGACTAATGAAGGATTATCTTATCTTAATTGAACATCCAGTTGCAATTAGTGAAACAATGGTGGAAAAAAGCCAAGAGTCGTTTTTCTGTCTGGAACATTGTTTCTGTACTGTAGTAACGTATTTAATTAGTGTTATCAATATCTTAACATTGTACTAAAGAGCACTGTCCATGATATTAGCCGTGTTGAGTGTGCAAGGCTGAACCACACATTTGATTTTAAATATCCGAAAGATACAGATTTATAGGATAGAAAATATTGAATCCAAGGCTTTAAAAGGTAATAATAATAATACATTTTATTTATATAGCGCTTTAAAAGACACTCAAATACACTTGGTAAAAACAGAAAAAATGAAAGCATTTATAATAAGAATAAAATAGATGACAGTATTAGTTTAATACTGGTGTTATTTTTTAGTAAAATACAACCTGCTATCCATCAAATTATCCGATTACCCATTAAACCTGTATTTTGTACCCAGATGAAGCAGGAAAATTCATTGATGGAATGAAGTTGCTGTCCTGAATCTTTTTTCTATACTTTCAAAAAGTATCATATTTTCATCCGTTTTAATTCTGTGTCATATTTAAATTTGTATCTGAACTTGTGGAAAAATACACTGTACACAAAAAAGACAAAAGCAAAAGTCTACGAAGATCTGGGCTTTATTTCAGGAAGCACATTTGGTTGATCATTTGGGTTTTCTTGACAACTTATTTTTTCATCAGTTTTAGTTCATCTACCGTTTACAAACATGGTGACAACTACTTCATATGGCATGTATATTATAGGCTATTTGGTTAACAGAGGAAAGTACAATACAAAAAAACATTTTATATACAGAAAATAGACACATGGCCTTGCATATGAATGGGAACTGACTTGCTCAATTGTAAATAAAAAGGCTGACTGACACTTCAACAGTACACAAGAATTGGTAAACTAGGACATCATTAGGACAGAGACACGCCCCGGTGAATCGTGTGGTTTGTTCACAGACACAACTGCAGTAGTAATTCAAACCCAAACATTTCTTGGTATCGGATGTGTGTCATGCATCTATCAAAACAAGGGCAACAACTGATACATTTGGACATGATGTACTTTTTTGGCAGAAAAAATAATAATAATTTGGTCTAAAGAGACACCAATGTTCTTTTTTGAAGTTTCAAAAACAAAACAGTGAATGATTGTCTGTGTTCACAGAGCAGTCACACAAAGCTATGATCAACGTCAACTTTAAGAAGGAAGATAAAAAAAACAAATACTTTATCAAACCTTACTCACCTCCAGACTTGGTTTATGAATCATTACAATTAAAAAGGTGCAGAGATACACTGATTGTAGTTAAGCAAAAGGCAAAACTGGTTATAAATGATTATTGAAAAGAGAAAACATTTAGCAAGGAGGCCGTTTAAAAGTAAAAACATGCACCTCTGTAACATTCAGGATCATTCGAGAAGTGCGAACAGAATTCATATAAAAAAAAACAACAGAAACAGACGTTTTAAAGTCAACATGTCTTTGCCGAATCGAGCTCAGTAATAACAAGCAGAATGTGCTGTAAGTCTATGTACATTTCATCATACAACATACTAAAACCAACATATGTTTTTGCATAAAGTTTGTCAAGCTTAATTAATCCCTCAACAACACGTGAGATATAGTGGTACCGTCTGTGGCAAGACACTGTGTAACTGCATCCACAGTAACTTTCTCTTGTTTTTTCTGTAACAGTAACTGTAACTTTCTTCGACACATACTCTGCTCTCAGTGCTCCGACTGCATGCAAGTAAAAAACGCATTTATTGAACCTTCTGTGTGTTCAGACGTTTTGACGGGAAACACTAATATCTAGCAACTGTAACCGATGCAGTAAATACATTTACGTTGTTAGCACAAGTGTAGAGCCATTTAGTAACAACATGCACACGTGTGTGTGCATTTCTATTTAATCTGTAATTTACTCGATGTTTGTCTTTCTAGTCATGCGACAGCATTTTATAAAATTCCCCCTTTAGCACATTAAAAAACAATGCATGAATAAAAAAAAACAATAAGGCAACAACTAGGTAGTTTTGCTGAAATTAAAGCATCAATTGAATGTGACCCATCGTATTAAAAAAGTAGAGTGAACGGTTGCGATGACGGGTTAGTATTGGCAGGCTAATCACATTAAACTACACATAAGGGTGGCTTATAGCAGAAAGAAGTGACACTGTTAGACAATATCAGTGCAGAACGTCCTCCGCCCCGTCTCAGTGTCCATCTGAACGGTCTGTCTGATGCAACACCAGCCGGCCGCCATCTGGTTGGCACTTCCTCGTTGATCCCTCAATAAAACAGTTTGTGTGCCAAAGGCCAAAAAAATAAAGTCTTGACTTCGGCAGAGGATGCTCGGCTGGGATCCCAGGATCTGCATGGAAACTGATGTTATCTCGTGACGACAGCTAACTACATTCTTTTCTGGAAGTGAGAACTTTTGATATCGCCGATAATACTCTATGACGTTTTTAGAAACTATGCAGTTTTTGTCAGTGCAAAGAGGAGAAGAGAACATGAAAGGGGAAGTGACCGATTACTATAATGAAGAACAGAAAGAGAATCAACGAGACACGAGTTCACGTGTTATTATGCAACTACACAGAACCCCAAAGTCAGTCTGTTTATGCTTCCCTCCGGGCGGCCTACGCAAAAACCTGCATGTTGCCGAGCTGAGGCTGCTGAGAGGCCTGCTGCATCTGTTGCGACTGCGGCTGCAGCTGCACCTGCTCTGGAATGTGTGTGTGGTGCGAAGACGGCAGTGCGTGGTGGGGGTTCCCCAGAGGGGTGGGGCTGGTGGTGACGTCAGACCAGTCCGAGTTAGAGTGTGGCGAAGAGGACGACCAAGGATCCGGGGACTCGGGAGAGGGGGTGAGATACGGGTGCTCGCTGGGTGGGTGGGCAGAGTGGCCCGGGGTGGTGCCCTCTGAGCCAGTGGTGGTGTAACTGTGCTGGGAGGGGGGAGTGGGGTACTTATCCACAGGGCTCTGCATGGGCGGATAGGAGGGCAACGGCCGAGACTGGCCCTCAATCCCGCCGTGGCCCCCGTGGCTGACGGTGTGGGGGTGCTGCAGGGCGTGGGAGAGCCCGTGCGCCATGCTCATCTGCTCAGGCATCTGGTACATCATACCTTGGGGGCATCGGAGGTGGCCTGGCCCCTGCTGGGAGTGACCCTGATTCTGGTTCTGGCCCTGGGACTGTGTGACCTGTACCTGCCCCGGCTGAGGCTGCTTCAGCATGGCCTGGCCTCCTCCAGGGGCCATCATCTGGAACGTGACAATGGGCGGCAGCTGCTCTCTGCTCATGGTGACGTTCATGGGAGTCAGCATCGGGCCCTGGCCGTGGTGTTGGCCCATGCCCGGGTGAGATCCCCCCATCTGGTGCGACACGAGGCCGAACATGTGGCCGCCGTAGCCGTGCTTGGTCATGCCCACCCAGCCCGGCTGCTGTCCCAGCATGTGGCTGACGGGCGGCAGCATTGGTCTGGAGGTCGGACTGCTCAGGAGGGGAGGGGAGTTTGCCGTGGTGGAGACGGTGCCGGACACGTCGCCGGTGTACGAGTGCGGTGATTCCAGGGAGTCAACGGGTGACATGGTGACAGAGCTCTCTGGAAGTCCTGCTGCTGCCTTGACGCCATTCGCGTTCCCTCCTGCTGTACCTCCTGCTCCTCCTCCTCCGCCACCTCCTCCTCCCACTCCAGCACCTACACCCAGCCCGTCTCCTCCAGCGGGCTTCTTTCTTCTCTTTGCCTTCATGTCTTTCAGCTCCTTCGCTCCCCCTCCAACGCCTCCCACCTTCGCTCCACCTCCGCCCCTCCTGCTCTTCTTCCCCTGGGGCCCGGGGCGCATGCCGATGAAGCCCACTCCGTTGGCCCCGCACATAACGTTTCCTCCTCCGCCCATGTGGTTCGGGCCACTGTGTGGACTGTGAACCAAATTGTACTGGTCCAGCAGGCGCACGATGTCGTGATGCATGCGTTCTTGAGCGGTATCGCGGGGCAGCCGATCCAGGTGATCGGTGATGTCGCGGTTGGAGTAGTGGTCAAGGAGAACCTGAGCCGCCTCAAAGCTGCCTTCTCTGGCTGCAAGAAACAGAGGGGTCTCCTCCTGAAGGAAACACAGCAGGCAGCGGGTTTTAATACACAAAAGATCTGTTTTGAGCAAAGTCTCAATTTAAAATGTATCTCTGAAAAAAAGTCTGATGGGCACGTTTTATATAGATTCAATTTACCTCCAGATACTTCCCTTAGTAGTGTAATGAGTGACTTGAACTTTTACCCGAGTCATTTTCATCAGCACACAATCGAAGGAACTATGGTTAGAAATATCATAAATGAAAACAAAGAACCAACCTTATTGTCTTGCATGTCACGGTTGGCTCCGTTCTTCAAAAGCACGAGTGTGGCCTCCACGTTGTTAACTGCAGCTGCCCAGTGAAGAGAAGATTTGCCTATAATGTTTGGACGGGGAGAAAAGACAGAGAAGAACATCCATGTTAAACAGAATGAAATAAATATTTGCTCGTTTTTCTGTTACATTCCATTCATAAGTATTTTTTTGTTAATAATCAGAGCTCTTCAAGTCAAGGACTGAAGCCAGCATAGCAGTGTCTTAAAGGTTTACTACCATGAACACGTGCAATTTGCATGGACGGGTCTAATTATCTTGTCCTGCTTACCTACCAGCATAATTCTTCATACCAATACTGCAGCGTCAATACGAGCAATATCGTAATCCGAATAAGTGTGCATGATATGCTGTAATTCATACACCAGACTTGCAGTACAAAAAAAAAGCATTCCCCAGGAAGACCAGATATATGAAAAGTTTGCTCACCGTGGTCGTCTACAGCATTGATGTCAGCATGGCAGTGGATCAGCTCTTCCACCATGCCGTCCACAGCTAGCCGGGCTGCCAGGACCAGTGGAGACGTGCCGTCGTTCATCCGGGCATCCAGTTCTGTTGCACGATTACGGATCAGTATCTGAGAAGACAAAAGATACAGACACTTGAGATACGATGGAAAAAGTACATGAAAGAGAATAGAAGTGATGCAGATTTCACAAGTAATTATCGTTTCATAGGGATTACCTTTGCCCTTGTTTATGATGTCTCATGACAACATTGTTTTGTCTGACCAATATCAAATTCAAAGTTTATACCGATTAACCGATTCTGATCAAACTGTTTTTTCTCACCTGGAAGACTCCCTGCGCATCAGCCGCCACGGCAGCATGCAGAGGAGTTCTGCCCATGTTGTCATGGGCGTTGGGATCAGCGCCAGCGTCCAGCAGTCTCTTAGCAGCATCAGCCCTAGCGTAGCGGGCAGCCAGGTGGAGCGCCGTTTCTCCTGTACGGTCAGTCTGAGCCATCAAAGAAGCACCCTGAGCGATCAGGTCTGAAATGACACTCGGCCCTGGTTCATCTCCTCCGCTCTCCTCCTCTTCTTCTCCTCCATGCAGGCTGCAGTCCGGGCCTCCACCATTACGCAGCGATGCCAACATCAATGGGGTGAAGCCATCTGAGAAGAAAAGAAAAGGAATATATAAGGAAGTTCTTGAAGTTGATCAGATTTAGAAGTTTATAAGTATTTTGTTCTTCTCACCAGGTCCCTTGACGTTAACATCCAGACAGTCAGCATCCAGGTCGGCCTGTGGGGGAGTGAGCGAGATGTCAGCAGCCTTGCGATGCTGCAGGGTCCACTCCCTTCGGTCAACACCTCCATCCATAGCGATGGGCAGCAAGGGTTTGTCTTCAGTCTATAAAAAGCAACAAAACTTGAAACAACATTCACAAAACAAAAATCCTTTCCTCATGGTCCTTACCCAATTGAATTGAAACTACTCCAATCCATCAGCTTTCTTTTTTCTCTCTCAATTCACTTACTCTTTGTTTCTTGGGTGGGACCTCGTCTTCCAGCCACCTCTGACTCTGAACTCCATCCATCATGGCATCCTGGGTCTTGAAATTCCTGATACGAAAAAAAGACAAAAGTTTAAGCAATAGCAACATTTCCATTTGGTTCTGCTTAACACTCAATCAAACAGTAGTATTGATCACTGGGAGCTGGACAGCACAACCAGTCTTCTGCTGATGCATTTGAGCTCATCCAGCCATTTAACGTAAATGCATCGTACACAAATGTTTCTTAACATTAGCAGTGATACTTGTTCACTTTGCATGGCCGCATCTCCCCAAGATCTACATTTTACTCTGGTATAAATGCCCACACATAACAGTAGCTGTTGTAATATATCTTGTTTTAAATATTCTCTAACACAAGCTTTTGGTCTGTATATCCACTCACTTCATGTCAAAGTCATCCTGTCCGACAGGCTCTCGCCTTTTGTCATTCTTATTGGCCAAGAAGCCATCAGGAAGCCACAGGGCGCCATGTTTGTGCTTCCTCTTGGCTGCTAGCATCCCCAGCACAAGGATCAGCAGAATAATAACCACGGCCACTCCAACCAGGTACATCAGAGGCGTTGGAACTGGTGAGTCATCTGGAGGCCCAGCTGGAGAATAGAAAGACAAGTCTAATACCAGTTGTTTTGTCTTCATTTGATTTAGGTTTAACTGTTGGATGACAGGCCTATGTACCTGTAACAGACACCAGAGGGTAAGGCAGTTCAGCCTTCATGTGTGCTGCTGCAATGAATGACGCGGCCTCATTAATGTTGGAGAAACAGTGGGCAGAGCTCTGGGAACATTCACGGTTATCGAGTTCCAGGTGCACCTCAGATCTGCGCAGATGTGAAAATTCAAACACTGTAAATGACATGCAGTTTGTTTATTTTTTAAGCGAGTATTATAAGAGAGCTTAAAGGAAGAGCCTTTACCCTATCATTAACTATTCTTACCCAATAACTTCCAGCTCCCGCTTGCTTCTGCTCGTCTGTATATGTCGTCCATGCTCCTCCCCATAGTAAGGGTAAACCATTGCCTTCTTATTTGTATCTAGCTTAACTTGCAGGTTGGTGTGCAGCAGGGCTCCCAGCGAGCGCAAGAAACCCCTCATGTCTCCAAGCAGCTCCTTAGGCTGCAGCCGGACCACGATGATCAGCGTGCCACCTACCACCATGGCTGGAGTGTCAGTGGAGCAGTCCAGGCCGTCCCAGCCACAAGCCTCCGTGTGGCAGCTCTGGTCACAGATGTCGTTCCCAAAGTGGTCTGCGCAGTACCTGTCATACCTGAAAATACACAGTACAATGACGGTGGGTGTTTCGTCATTTGGCTTCAAAATGTTTTGGACTGTAAACGCAACTGCAACAGCAATGACAAAATAAAGAAAAGGGTCACATACTTGCAGGATGATGTGGTCTCCTGGCACTCAAAGCTGTCAAAGAGGCACCCAGGGTTGTCACACTCCTTATTACATTGGCCATTCTTAAAGAGATCCCAGCAGGGAACACTGGCATCGCAGTTAACCCAGGGCTGCTGCCAGTTGAGCGAGCAGTCGCCTCCATCCCACTGACATTCATGGTTGTTACACTGATCGTCACACACCTTATCCCCCGAATGCTGCTCACACTGCAGATAGGGGCACGTTGGAGTGCGTGGCGTGATTAGTTTGTTGTCACAGTATGGTCCCGAGAAGTGCATCGGACAGCGGCAGCTGTACTGGTACGGGTTGGATGGGTCTTTGATGCAGGTTCCTCCATTTTGGCAGTTCCATGGACATCTCTGTTCATTCTCACAGTGTGGTCCGCTGAAGCCTGACTGGCACTGGCAGTACAGGTGGCCAGGTGACTCCACGCAGCGACCGCCATTCTGGCAACGTAGCTTTGTACAACTGTAGCCCTCTATTTCGCCACAGTTGAACCCAGTAAAGCCCTATAAAACATAACACCTTGTTTAAGTGGGACAGTAATATAGTCAAAAAGTAAGGCTTGGCTACACATTTGTAATAGGCCAATACAACGTTGCAGCTGACTTTTAAAGAAACAAACTACTATAACTAATGTACATCTAGGTTCTACTGCAAATCTGCTGCTCGTCTACTATACCTGAGCCATGGTGTGGCCCTCTGAAGCAAGCGTGAGAATAAGAGAGGGAGCGAGAAGTTAGTGGAGAGAAAAACAAGAATTTAGTGTGAAGAGATTCATGTTCTAGTAAGAAAACACCTCGGTAGTAACGTCAGCCACCTGTCCACTTCTATAATCTTCTGAAGTAGATCAGTACATCTATTAACAATTCATCTTTTCTATAAGCAGACAGATTAATGAAATAGATCCAATACCCTCTGAGACTTAAGTGATTAAGCATCAAAAACACACTAAAGATGTCTTCTGCTGAAGACTTTATGGAATTTGGGGGATTGTTTCACTTTCGACATTCGCTGTTTGATAATCAAGTCTGGAGGGATGTGCGGTAGCCAAAACACTAATGTGAACCTATCAAGAAAATGGAGGAACTGGTATTGATCGTTTTTTTTTTGTGCAGAGAAATTGAAACACAATCTCTGATAGTCCTACAAAATAAGTGTTTTTTTTTCCTCGCACCACAGCCAGCTATGTCGCTTCTTCTACATTGTGAACTTTGTGGCATACGCGCCAAAATCCAAACACAGAACAAAAGGCAAAATGATGCATATGTTATTTGTCTCTTTAAATAGTTATTTGAAGATTCACAAGCACAGTACTGTCAATCAAGACCTTAATTTAAAAGTATAGCATCACACTGATTATGAATAAATTTGAGTGCACGGGAAAACAACTGCAAAGAGAAATGAATAGAAAGGTGGTATTCAGAAAGCAAGCATAAAAAAAAAAGGAAAAATCGATTGAAACCTCTTTATCTTATGATAGAGTGACATTGAAGAAACTTACAGGAACACAGGAGCAGGTGTAGCCATGGACTGAGCTCATGTTCATAGAGCAGATGCCACCTTTGTGGCACGGCTTAGACAGACACAGATCCACCATGGACTCACAATGACGACCTGGGAAAGAAATAACAATTAACAACTCAAATCCTTTGCAGGATTATCCAAAAAATCTTTTATTATTGAAACAATTAACACAAAAGCACGGATGCCTTGCTGTTCTAACATACAAAACGACTAAATATGGTGCTGTTATGCCCCTTGGAGCGGGTAATACGAACATACCGGTGTATCCGAGGCGACAGCGGCACTGGTAGTCGTTGACCAGCTGCACACAGTCGAGGCTGCCGGGGGCCTGGCAGGGCCCAGACAGGCACTCATTGAGATCCCCCTCACAGTGTTCCCCAACGAATCCTGGAGGGCAGGAGCATGTGTAACGGCCCACGCCGTCCACACACTGTCCTCCATTCAGGCAGCGAGGTTCAAAGGAGCCGTGCTTGGGGGCACAGTCATCCTCGTTGACTTCACACTGGAGCCCTTCAGAGCAGTGGACAGACGGATGTCACTCGAGGTATCAAATAAAGCGTATAATCTGCTCTCTGAATACTTCATCAACCTGTGTGTGTACATACTATGTGATATGCAGACTTACCGTGGGCTCCAGGTGGGCAGGCGCAGGTGAAGCGGTTGATGAGGTTGATACAGGTTCCTCCATGGAGGCAGGGCCTTGAGTGGCATTCATCAACATCATACTCACAGTTCACTCCCTGGTAGCCTGGTTTACACTGGACCCAGAGACAGAGGTTAGCTCATCATGTGCCTTGGGGGCTTAGAATTAACGTGAAACATAAAAGCTTTAAAACCTACAAACCACCAACACACACACACATACACAAACAGCTGACAATGTACTTACTATGCACTCGTATGTGCCCTGATAGTCTTTGCATGTAGCTCCGTTGCGACAAGGGTTTGACTGGCACTCATCCACCATCTCATCACAGTAGCTGCCCGTGTATCCTGGCTGGCACTGACACCGGTGGGAATTGCCCACATTCACGCACCGCCCGGCGTTCTTGCACACGTTTTCAACCTCCAGACCTACGTCATTTGGTAAAGGAGGCACATAAAGTGAATAAAAGAATGTGAAGATATGTGCATAAGGTAAGAGTTTGTCTGATAAAACTGTAGGCAGGAAACTACATTTTCATTGTAAATACTAAATATTGTGTTGTAGGGCCTCACCCTTCCTGGCGGCAAAGTCCTGGCAGGACATGTTAGGGACGTCACAGTAATGTCCCGTCCATCCTATTTGACAGTGGCAGGTCCAGGAGGTCGACGTCTGAGAGCAGGAGCCGCCGTTGTGACAGCGCACCTGGCTGCAGAGGTTCACGAAATTCTGCAAAAAAAGAAACAAATGGAGAGAGAGTTGTAGTTGGTTGTAAATGTTACACAGACAGAAGGAACTGCACCACATCCAGCCACCTTCTTGAGTTACATACTTTCAGTTTGGGGCATCTAACCTAACCAACTTTCTTATTCAATATTCCCAATAATAGTGGGAATATCAGGCGCAAACAAAGCTTCTCAAGCGCTCCGAGCTGTGTTTTTTTTGTGTGCCTGGTTTTTTGTGAGTTTTTTAGCTGGGAAAAACGCTGTGGTGGACATACAATTTTGTGCAAAAATGTGACAGTGATATTGTTTGATTAACAGAAAAATCGTGCATGTTTATATATATGTATAAGTTTAATGATTTCTCTGTTTTCCTATGATCACGTGTTAGTGCAACACTAATAATGATTGTGAAGAATCATTAACAGTAATCAGTTAACATTGACAGACAAAATATGTAGACATAATATTTATAACTTAGAGATAAACCGAGCAAATTAATTATTTGGAAAGATTATATCAAAAGAGTGCCCTCCATATTATGTTCTACTCTTTTAAAATAGCTTTCAGTCTCAAATAGGTTGGTGACCCTTGTTATAAATGTTAAATATGAAATTACATAGATTATTATATTAGATGTATAAATATTAAATGGCTAAGAACGCATACTGTAGGACCCAGCTCAGGCACATTACCTGCAGACCCACACCGTTCACTTGCAGTGACGCACAAACACTATACCTGGCAGTTCTGTCCATTGTATCCCACAGGGCAGGTGCAGCGGTAGGTGCCTAGGCCATCGGTGCAGGTGCCTCCATTCTTACAGGGCTGAGAGTCGCACTCATTCTGCTCGTACTCACAGAATGTCCCGTAGAAACCGGGACGGCAACGGCAAGAGAAGGTGTTGATGTCGTCAATGCAAGTCCCATTATTCAGACAGGAGCTGGAAGGAAGGAGGGAAAACAAAGTGGTGACTACAGACTGTCCTGGGTGCTGAGTTTACTTTAATAAAAGGAAAAACTGTATATAGGAAACAAAAAAACCTATTAATGACATACATCTTAATGAGATACACAATCTGCCAGCACCAATGGCTGATTCACCCTCATATCAGGCAAATATTCCGTCAGATAATTGCAGGAGATGCAGTAGAAATCATCCAGGAGGAATCCATTGCAGAAGAACAGAACGATTGAGCTTTTATGGTTCCTGCTTCGAATGAACGACTCACCTCTCGGTACATTCGAGGATGTTGCGTTCACACTTGATTCCATCAAAGCCTGGTCGGCACTCGCACACAAAGCTGTTGACGTAGTCCCGGCAGATGGCACCGTTCCTGCAGGGCTGGCTGGTACACTCGTTGACCTCAGTCTCACAGCGCTCCCCTTCAAAACCGGGGCGGCAGTCACAGGAGAAACTCCCGACATCGTCCACACAAGAGCCTCCGTTCAGGCATGGGCCTACAGAGGGGAGGAGAGAGAGAGGGGAAAGAGACTTTCAATGAACAAAAACTTGATTTACTGATTGAACAAATCCTCCAGGTTATCAACGAACAATCCACCAGCAGTTGACTAGTCGCCATAGTCCATAAATGCAGAGGTGAGGCTACCACTAGGTGCATTCAGGCACTAATGAGGTGAATTAGTTGAAAGTGAAACTCACTTGGTGAGCAGTCGTCAATGTCTGTCTGACAGTTGTGTCCGCTGTATCCAGGTTGACATTTACACGTGTAGCTGCCCGGGCTGTTCATGCAGCGACCAGCATTTTTGCAAGGGCTCTTCCTGCATTCGTCGACATCCTCGGTGCAGCGTGTACCTACACGATTGTGACCAAACAACAACACATTAGCACGGCATCAATCTAGCAGTAATACCTAATATTAGATATGACTTTGCTCTCAGGCACACTGTCTCATAGTTTCCCTCTATCTCGACTCACATCCACACAAACTCAATCAGACGGACACGTATCTCACAGACAGGCACATACCTTGCCAACCAGCAGGACATCGACAGGTGTAGGAGGTGTAGTCTGCAGACGGACGGCACACTCCTCCCCTCTCACACGGATGAGAGGCACAGGGAACCTGTTCCACCTCACAGAATTTACCTATTTCAACAGAGCACAGATTTTATGAATGATAAAACAGGCTAAAAAAGGTACTCAGTTGGCTGCTACAAAGACATGCGGTTGCATGCTAATAAGTGGATGTTGATGTGGTGGAAGTGTGATGTCACTAACCTGTGAATGGCGGACTACATTGGCAGGAATAAGTGTTGACTCCGTCTATACAAATGCCTTGGTTCAGACAGGGCCCGGATGCACATTCATCTGTGTTCTTCTCACAGTTCACACCTAATACGAGAGGAGGGGTGATTCAAATATGTATTATTTAAAATTCAGTGCCGTTTACTCTATTGATTGCCTTAGAAAGTCTTAAAAAAAATGCAGTGCTAATTTATGTTAATTGACATTATTACCTTTGAATCCAGGTTGACACTGACAGGTGTAGCCATTGTGTCGGTCCACACAGGTGCCACCATTTTGGCACGGACTGGGCTGGCACTCGTCCTTTTCCTGCCCACACTGTTGTCCCTCCCAGCCAGCTTCACACTCACAACGATACCTTTACACAAGAGAAAGGCCAGCACGAGTTTAAAGAGGAGAAATTAGCCACATAATAATAATAATAACAGCAGCTGGTTTTTGGGCCAAACCTATTGCTGTGGCAGCGCGTTCTGTCTGAACGGCATGTGCGGAGTTTTGCTGTTTGTGTGTTTGATGCGTCATTTGATCAGCTTCTCTGACAGCCTTTATAGAGACCACCAACCAAACTATTTAGAACAAATATCGCCCAATAATGACCGGTGTCCAATCCATCGGTGCAACCTTAATAAGGATAGTTGTATCTCAGAACATAGCGTTTCAGAGTAGCAGTATGAGGTCAACGTACCCGTGTTGCTGTTCAATACAGTCTCCGTGCGCACAAGGCCGAGGAGCACAGTGGTCGGTCCCAGAGAGGCACAGAGGGCCGTGGGTGCTGGGCGGGCACAGGCAGTAGAACCCGTTGACCTTGTCGAGGCAGCTTCCCCCACTCATACACGGGTTTGAGTTACACTCGTCGATCTCCACTTCACATTTAAGTCCTGTCAGAGAGCAATTCAGAGGGAATTCATTCTTGATTATCCTGTTGATTTCAATAACAGCATCCAAATATCAGCTTTACTGGGGTATCTTAGCAAAACGTACCTGTATATCCTGCGGTGCACACACATTTGTACTCGTTAATGCCATCGTGGCACTCTCCCTTCTCACAGGGGTTGCTGGCACAGTCATCTTCATTGATCTCACAGTTCACCCCTGAGTAGAAAAAAACATAAATTCACAAAGGGCAACAATAGCCAGGTTTATGTGCTTAATCATTTTTAATTGGCCGTGCGTTTGCTCAGATTTAAAAGTAGCACACCAAAAACACAGAGTGAAGAGTTGCATAAGAGGAGAAGCGGATCAAGCGGCTGTTACAAAATGTGACAGTTAAGTAATTTACCACCGGGGGAGCAAGACTCCATAAAAATGTAGTTCCGCAAGAAGTGAGAAATGTTAACAAAAAGCTTTAATGGCCCACTACAACTAGAGTATGGCATAGTTATAAATCTATCAAGGATAACATTAGAGGAAAGTGGGAGAGAAGAAGAGAGAGGAAAAGGATGAGTGACAGAAAGATGAAAGAGAAAACTAGACAGAGAGAGGAAAAAGTAACATTTAAAGAGGGGAAGTGAGGGCATGAAACCAGAAAATGAGAGCTGACAGGCTGAGCTGAGGCAGTTTTGGTTAAGTGAGGACAGTGCAGACTTCAGTACCAGGTCTCAGGGTGGTACAGTGTACTGAACTGAGCCTATTAATCCATAGAGCAACGTGGGTAGCACCACTGGACCCAGACTTGTGACTGCTGTACACACAAGTGCTCTCCAGTTTATACATCGAAAGTTACACAGGAAGCTCTAGACGTGGGGGATGGGGGGTCTTTACATTCAGGAGCACCTCATTGTGATCTGGCTCAGACTCTTTCAAATAAGATTCGGAGTTAATTTATCCTTCGGTCTAAAGTGCCGGATGATCTAGAACTCAAACAATGTTTTGCGTTTATCGTTCAGTCTGTATGGTTACTGTAGCAAAGAGCTGTATTTAAAACCCAGTGGCAGTATTTTTGAGGAGAAAGTGTCTGAAACTCCTCTCGCACTAGTGCCATGGAAGATACAAAGAGGCTACTGGCTTGTCAGGTGAGAGAGTCGTACAACTGCATCACTTACGTACCATTATGTCAAATGACACTTTTTTTCTTTGAAGAATAAATTAGAATGAACTTGTCTCACTATATAGGCAATGATTTTTTATTTTTTTTGTAGCACACCAAGTATCTACCTGTGGTTCCTGGTGGGCAGTTACACTGGTAGGCATTGACCAGGTCAATGCAGCGTCCTCGGTTCTGACATGGGTTGCTGTGGCACTCCTGGACCTGGATATTACAGATGGAGCCCGTGTATCCAGGTTGGCACTCGCAGGAGAAGGTGGCGATGCCGTCTTTACACACACCGTGGTGGCATGGCTCTGGTACGCAGTCGTTGATGTTGTCCTCACAAAGTAGACCGGTGAAGCCTGCAGAAGGACATTTTCTCTTAGGCTATTGCGTCATGGATCAAGTGACTATTTCAGATTAAGTGATGCAGTCTACCATTTACTACTTTATAGCACAATAGCAGAGCAGGCCCGACACATTAGAACAAGGATTTAACATGTGTTTATTCCTTTTTACCTTCAGCACATTCACAATCATATCCGTTGGGTCGGTCGATACACTTGGCCCCGTTTAAACAGGGCGTGCTGGAGCACTCATCGATGTCGATCTGGCACATTTCACCGCTGAAGCCTGAAAACAGAACAGCACGATGAGCATGATAAGAAACGCACACGTTAAAAGACAGGACGGACTTCATAAGCCAATTCATTTTCACTCTGATTGTGCGGAAACCTGAAAAATACATGAACATAGCTACGTGTGTACTAACCTGCTGGGCATTCGCAGACGAAGCGGCTGACCTGGTCCAGACATTTCCCCTGGTTCAGACAGGGCGAGCTGATGCACTCGTTTATCTCCACCTCACAATGAGTCCCCTCAAATCCTGCATGGCAAGAAACAATTTTTTATGATTTCGCTACGGACTTTATGTGTTTAAATAATTTCATTTGAACCTTGTGGTGTCATCTCCACCAAGGAAGTCACGTTTTTGCTCAAACATTGTCTATTTGTTAGCAGGATAAAAAATGGTAACAGCTCTGAATGAGATTAAAAAAGGTAGGACATTTTTTCCAACATTTTATAATAATTTTCTTATGAATTCCCAGCACTTGTTCGGATTATACAATGTGGCACATGTATCATAATAGTGTTTATCCCTCTGGATCTTTCAGATTTAGATGATAAAATGTAATCCTTTCAAATGCTGCACTTCTTTGAAGCTCATTTGGAACAGACCGTCTGATAAAACTGCTTAAAATGTAAGGTAATTCATAATTTCTCAGGGAATGTACCAGGCATGCAGATGCAGGTGTAGTCCCCGATGCGATCCAGACATGTGCCGTCGTTCTGGCAGGGGCTCGAAGCGCACTCGTTGACGTCTTGTTCACAGCGCGGCCCAGCGTAACCCCTCACACAGTTACATGTGAAGGAGCCGTCGGTGTTCACACACTGACCGCCGTGCTCGCAAGGGTTGGTACCTGATGATGAAGAGGAAATAGGCATGCTTAAAAGCAGAACAGACTGGCAGAGGTACATGTTATGTGTGGTTAGAAGTTTCTCTTTCTCACCAATGCTGCATTCGTCTCTGTCGATGTTGCAGGTGCTACCTACATACCCAGGTGCACAGTTACAGTTAAACATGCCACTGATGGGGTTGGTGTCACAATGAGAACCCTCTCTGCAGGGGTTACTGATACAGGCGTCATCTCTATGGCAGAGCAAGCCTGAAAGGAACATTGTGTTGACAAGGAATGAGTAAACTAGACGCGGTATTGAGTTCCACAGTTAATCCCCAACATGTCAACTAATGCACTTTGCTGAAACTAGTTTTGAGAATTCGAAAAATCCAACACTCAAGCGACCGATGGTGTAACTTCATCACTCGCTCAGTCGGGGACAGACATGCGTTCAGCTATTTGAATAACAGATCCAAATGCAGAAAATGTCCAAACTGCAGTAGTAGTTTGGAGTAATTGAACAAAGGTTGCACTACTGGCCTACCTGTCTTTCCGTAGGGGCATTGGCAGACGAAAGACGCCACGCGGTCGATGCATGTGGAGCCTGCGCTGCACGCAGCTGTCGCACAGTCGTCGATGTTTATAGAGCAGTCGGGTCCACTCCAGCCGTTAACGCACACACAGACGTAGCTGCCAAACAGGTTGCTGCAGGTACCGCCGTTCTGGCAAGTGTTTGGCTGCAGACGACACTCGTCCACATCTTCGGTACAGTGCTGACCTGTGGAGAGGCATTTGGAAATGTAAACATATGAAGTTAAATCGTTGAGTCAATACTCCATGTTGTACTACAACATCACTTAAGGTGTAACCACATGGTTTTTCCTGTGGAGAAAACTAAATATTGACCCATTTTTTAAGATATTTCAGATGCGTACCGCCTTATTTAGAAAGCTCTATTTTTTGCAGACATGAAAAATATACAGTATGAGAATATTATTCATCCACAGTTTTTCGGTTGGCGGACAACCCTCTCTACCCAGTAAGCCACGGTCGCCCCTAAAACTCAGACAGGCCCAAGGAAGCTGATGTTTGCATGTTTGCTTTGTAAATGGAAAGCGTGCGTATGCAGTACAAGCGTGTTAGCACAGACACGCCTTGTGTGAAGTACGAGGCTCTGTAGCATGAAGAAAAAAAATACAGAAGACTGGTAGGAAGTGAGATATCAAAACAGACAACATGAAAGGATCCAATTTATTTATTGAAAATATATTTCAAAATGATATGGCTAGAATATCTAGAAAATGAAGAGGTAAGGACACAAACAATGTGCTGGCGATTTCATTTAAAAAATGTGAAAGACTTGACATGACATCACTGCAAGTAGTCGTGGCAAGAAGATGCAAACAAACAATTGAACACACAAATCCCTTACCAGTCCACTCTGGTGGGCACTGGCAGTTGTAGGTGTTGACTCCGTCCATACAGGTTCCTCCATTGGCACACTGATGACCGGGGCAGTCATCAATGTTGCTCTCACAGTTAGTCCCGTTGAAACCTGGCACACATGATCGGGGAAGACATGAACTCAAACATCTAACTTGCACATGATATTCTCCAGTGTACATTAGTATTATCACATGTCCTGGTAGTGTATAAACATCACTTGTGTGTGTGTGTGTGTGTGTGGTTGTTGTGTCTACTTGCTAACTGTAGCAGACTGACAGCACAGTGTTTCCAACACAACACAGCAAACAGGATCAGACTGTTTGCACCTCAAACAACATAATGCAACAATACAGAAACTCAAAGCTACATTCATAGATAGATAAATACCAGCAATTGTATTCTCTCAAACGCCCCCTCTCTCTCTCTCTCTCTCTCTCTCTCTCTCTCTCTCTCT